CCCCTCAGGTTGGTTATCCATTGATGTTTACTCAGCTGTGTATGAGGGGACACAGCACTCTGGAGTTAACAGCTATCACCTCTGTGCCCGGTAGAGATCTCCCAGCACAGGGAGCGTGGATATTGTAGGCGGCCGGCAGAACCAGTCGGCCGATTCGTAGTCGATAAAAAAAAAGAAAGAAACTGACAGGTCGGGGTTGGAAGTCTACTTGTGATGTGCATGTTTTTATGGTTGACTTTATTAACAAGATGAAGCGTATCACTGGAGGAAAGCTGGGGTAGCACAGTGGGAAACATAAAAGCTGACGTTGAGGAATAGCTGTGTCTGTGCATAGGTAGAAAATTCACTTTAATTGGATGAAATTACCAAATATAGCTGCCTTTTGTCCACTAATAAAGAGATTCAGGCACAGAAATTGAGTACTATGTACACTATACAGTGAGGGAAAAAAGTATTTGATCCCCTGCTGATTATGTACGTTTAACCACTGACAACGAAATGATCAGTCTATAATTTTAATGGTAGGTTTATTTGAACAGTGAGAGACAGAATAACAACAAAAAAATCCAGAAAAACACATGTCAAAAATGTTATAAATTGATTTGCATTTTAATTAGGGAAATAAGTATTTGACCCCCTCTCAATCAGAAAGATTTCTGGCTCCCAGGTGTCTTTTATACAGGTAACGAGCTGAGATTAGGAGCACACTCTTAAAGGGAGTGCTCCTAATCTCAGCTTGTTACCTGTATAAAAGACACCTGTCCACAGACGCAATCAATCAATCAGATTCCAAACTCTCCACCATGGCCAAGACCAAAGAGCTCTCCAAGGATGTCAGGGACAAGATTGTAGACCTACACAAGGCTGGAATGGGCTACAAGACCATCGCCAAGCAGCTTGGTGAGAAGGTGACAACAGTTGGTGCGATTATTCGCAAATGGAAGAAACACAAAAGAACTGTCAATCTCCCTCGGCCTGGGGCTCCATGCAAGATCTCACCTCGTGGAGTTGCAATGATCATGAGAATGGTGAGGAATCAGCCCAGAACTACACAGGAGGATCTTGTCAATGATCTCAAGGCAGCTGGGACCATAGTCACCAAGAAAACAATTGGTAACACACTACGCCGTGAAGGACTGAAATCCTGCAGCGCCCGCAAGGTCCCCCTGCTCAAGAAAGCACATATACAGGCCCGTCTGAAGTTTGCCAATGAACATCTGAATGATTCAGAGGAGAACTGGGTGAAAGTGTTGTGGTCAGATGAGACCAAAATCGAGCTCTTTGGCATCAACTCAACTCGCCGTGTTTGGAGGAGGAGGAATGCTGCCTATGACCCCAAGAACACCATCCCCACCGTCAAACATGGAGGTGGAAACATTATGCTTTGAGGGTGTTTTTCTGCTAAGGGGACAGGACAACTTCACCGCATCAAAGGGACGATGGACAGGGCCATGTACAGTCAAATCTTGGGTGAGAACCTCCTTCCCTCAGCCAGGGCATTGAAAATGGGTCGTGGATGGGTATTCCAGCATGACAATGACCCAAAACACACGGCCAAGGCAACAAAGGAGTGGCTCAAGAAGAAGCACATTAAGGTCCTGGATTGGCCTAGCCAGTCTCCAGACCTTAATCCCATAGAAAATCTGTGGAGGGAGCTGAAGGTTTGAGTTGCCAAACGTCAGGCTCGAAACCTTAATGACTTGGAGAAGATCTGCAAAGAGGAGTGGGACAAAATCCCTCCTGAGATGTGTGCAAACCTGGTGGCCAACTACAAGAAACGTCTGATCTCTGTGATTGCCAACAAGGGTTTTGCCACCAAGTACTAAGTCATGTTTTGCAGAGTCATATTTCCCTCATTAAAATGCAAATCAATTTATAACATTTTTGACATGCGTTTTTCTGGAATTTTTTTTATTTATTCTGTCTCTCACTGTTCAAATAAACCTACCATTAAAATTATAGACTGATCATGTCTTTGTCAGTGGGCAAACGTAGAAAATCAGCAGGGGATCAAATACTTTTTTCCCACACTGTATATACAATAGTATGTGGACACCCCTTTAAATTAGTGGATTCGACTATTTCAGCCACACCTGTTGCTGACAAGTGTATAAAATCAAGCACACAGCTATGCAATCTCCATAGACAAACATTGGCAGAAGAATGACCTTACTGAAGCGCTCAGTGACTTTCAATGTGGCACTGTCATAGGATGCCACCTTTCCAACAAGTCAGTTCGTCAAATTTCTGCCCTGCAAGAGCTGCCCCGGTCAACTGTAAGTGCTGTTATTGTGAAGTGGAAACGTCTAGGCGCAACAACGGCTCAACTGCGAAGTGGTACGCCACACAAGCTCACAGAACGGGACCGCCAAGTGCTGAAGCGCGTAACACGTAAAAATTGTCTGTCCTCGGTTGCAACACTCACTACCGAGTTCCAAACTGCTTCTGGAAACAACGTCAGCACAAGAACTGTTCTTTGGGAACTTCATGAAATATGTTTCCATGGCCGAGCAGCCGCACACAAGCCTAAGATCACCATGCGCAATGTCAAGCGTCGGCTGGAGTGGTGTAAAGCTCACCGCCATTGGACTCTGGAGCAGTGGAAACACATTCTCTGGAGTGATAAATCACGTTTTACCATTTGGCAGTCCGACAGACTAATCAGGGTTTGGCGGATGTCAGGAGAACGCTACCTGCCCGATTGCGTAGTGCCAACTGTAATATTTGGTTGAGGAGGAATAATGGTCTGGGGCTGTTTTTCATGGTTTGGGCTTGGCCCTTTAGTTCCAGTGAAGGGAAATCTTAACGCTACAGCATACAATGACATTCTAGACGATTCTGTGCTTCAAACTTTGTGGCAACAGATTGGGGAAGGATCTTTCCTGTTTCAGCATGACAATGCCCCTGTGCACAAAGCGAGATCCATACAGAAATGGTTTGTCGAGATCGGTGTGAAAGAACGTGAATGGCCTGCATAGAGCCCTGACCTCAACCCCATCGAACACCTTCTTGATGGATTGGAATGCAGACTGCGAGCCAGGCCTAATCGCTCAACATCAGTGCCCGACCTCACTAATGCTCTTGTGGCTGAATGGAAGCAAGTCCCCGCAGCAATGTTCCAACATATAGTGGAAAGCCTTCCCAGAAGAGTGGAGGCTGTTATAGCAGCAAAGGGGGGACCAACTCCATATTAATGCCCATGATTTTGGAATGAGATGTTCGACGAGCAGGTGTCCACATACTTTTGGTCATGTAGTGTATCTTTATGGGTTCAGATCTATTTTGTATGTAGCTATCTAGAGTTACTACCATAGTCACTGTAGATACTACAGATGTTTGGAAAATGGAAGTGTATAAACTAAGGCAGACTAACAGGGAATAGCCAAGTCCCCTTGCTGTTTTCCACCTCACTAAAGCCTTGTTTGCTCACTCTGGGGGAATCATGGCTTTACTGCTGCCTGGGAGATTGTACAGAACATTGCATGTCTCTGATAGAGAGTCTGCAATCCTAACACATTCTTTATCTAGTGTTGAAATCCACATGCCCGCTTTCACCATTCACCAGGGGAGGACTATACAAATGGCTGAAAAAGAGCCAGTTTTCAAGTAATTTAGTATGCCCTTGTTTAAATATGGGGATATTTTCCTCTCCATTTAAGAAAAAGCCAGCAGGAGGTGGGGCAACTTTCCTCTTCCCACCTGCTATTTTCTGTCTTGAAAAGGAGAAAAAAAAATCAGCATATCACTTTGGGCTGTTTTCCTGAAACCATAGAAGACAGACATGGCTTCAAACTGCCAGTTATAGTCTCCCCTGGAGAAATAATGTACAGCAGTGTTATTCACCATTTGATTGGACCCCATGCAGTTTTTACCTTTCTGAACTTTTATTTTCATATGGTAGTGGTTTTGGATCTCAACACTGTGTTGTTGTGTTAGAGGGTGATACAATAATTAATACATCAGGGAATGGCCAATGCAACTGCTCTATTGTTCATTACTTTTTAAATGCTTTTTGCAATTATTCTCCAAATATGTATCACAAAAACATCATCATAATGCATCTTCCAATAGATGCAAACATGCTGTCCCCTAAACCCTGCTAACATCTTTCACATTTGGTTCATATCCAATTCTGTATTCTGGTCTGATATATTCAACAAATTCAAGTCCTAACCTTTGACACAAATCCACTCTCTGCAATATCTGCAATGCCACCTGACATAAAGCTATTCGCTGCTCTGGCACCCCAATGGTGGAACAAGCTCCCCCATGACGGCAGGACAGTGGAGTCACTGACCACCTTCCGGAGACACTTGAAACCCTACCTCTTTAAGGAATACCTGGAATAGTATAACAGTAATCCTTCTACCCCCCCCCCCCCCATTAAAAAAAGGGTGGTTGTCCCACTGGCTATCCTAAGTTGAATGCACCAATTTGTAAGTCGCTCTGGATAAGAGCGTTTGCTAAATGACTTAAATGTAAATAAACTCACCCAAAAGTGGTCTCTTACTTCCCCTCCTAAGCAACAGGCTTTTTACTTCTTAGTAAGTGGAAGCATACTTCCCCTTCTTTATATGATATGCTTTCTCTACTCTATTTCACTCCCTCCCTCCCTTCCTCCTTTTATTCCCACTCTCTCCCTCTCCTTTTTATCTTTCTCTCTCTGCCTCTGTCTTTCGCCCAGTGCTATGATGCTATCGACTCTGAAGGTGATCGGTACTGAGAGTCCTGGCAGTGTCTGGGAGTGGGCTCAGAGGAGTGGTGGTGAGGAATGGAGCGTCTCTGCTGGCCTGTAAAATATTCATCAAACTGAGTGGGATGAGGGGGACGGAGGGAGAAGATGGAAAGGAGTCCACTGGGAATATCACATCATAGCTCAGAGTAGACGGTGGGGAGAGGGAAGGAGGGATGTAGAGAGGAAAGAAGGGAGCAGTGAAGGGAAAGAAACACTCATTGTGTGGGAGATAGAATGTTCAAAACCCAGGCTCGCGAATGAAAGAATGTGGGTTTGTGATGGAACGGTAAAGAGAGGATTCATCACAAGGATATCATATAAACAATGCCAACCACACAGCTAATGATTGTAGTAATAAATCATGTTATTCTGACAGCCTAAATGTATTTGAGGATTGAACTGAATTACAGAGCATCAAGGTATGTAGTGCTGGATCTCACCTGCGAATCCACTAAAGTGGAAAAATACAAGTCAACAGCACCTGTTCTTTTCACTCTCTTTCTCCTTCATTGTTAATTATTTATGTCTTAGGTCCTGTTGTCCCTATATCCATTAACTGATCATTAGACAACTCTGCTTACAGGCCTGTCTGGCTCAAGGTACTATCTGACAGGAAATCCATTGGAAGTAGATGGTATTGGGTGATCAATTCTGTCTCATTACTCTAGCTGTGACTTGTGAGAACTGTGTGGAGGTGGTTTAAAGGCCACAAGACGTGTTAAACTAAAGTCCTTTTCTTATTGTGATCTTAGACAGTTGAATGTACGGTGTTTCATGATGTTGAAATAGCAAATACAGTAAGTAGTTGATATCTTCTTTATACACCACTTCAAAAAGGCAGGGTGTACTGTAAAAATGTATTTATGTGGATGAAAAAAATATTTTTAGCTGTTAGGATTTTTTACACCGTATTATCCACATCTTTTTTTGGTTTGTAGAATAGAGATTGCTGGTGACAGTTTATGGATCTCTCTTTTTACTGCCTGAACACAAATTAAAGGAAAGACCTACTGTGTGGCAGGCTTTCATTTAGCCATCTTCCCTGCGGATGCCTGTGGTTTACTTCAGTTCACTTGTTCCCGACAGTTGTTTGTTTGTTTCGTGACTAAATTTGACAAGCAACTATTGAGCCGTTATGCTTTTCAGCCATTATTAACACACTCAGCTTGACACACACAGGCACACGCACACACTAGCATTGCTATTTGAAGTCGTCCCTCTGGGAAGACCTTCAGTTTAACCAAAGTTTGTCATTAGTTTGGTGAGTCAACAGCTGTCGTCCAAACACACACAGTCGATAACAGAACAGAGAGCCATACTGACAGAACAGGAAGAACAGTGGGTTGTTATTGTCCCATCAAGACTTGTTATCTACCTGTGTTCTGACATGACGGATTAGGGCTCCAAGAGGCTTTGTGCTGCAATCTCTCTCCCTCATAGTAGTCAGTCAGCACTCAGGAGTCGAGAGCCTCCCTGTTCTTGCTTTGCCCTTCAGTTTAAGCGGGAAAGACAGATGTTCGCTAGATCAGGAGAGACAGATCTCAGGTTGGTAAGACTCTGATCGGAACTATGGCATTAAAAGCTGTGTCCTTTTTTAAGCCATTTGAATAGACATACTTCTTTAATGAGCCCAATTAACAATGCGTAACTTTGTTTACTCTCTTCGCTGTTCAATCAAAGTATTTTAAAGTGTTCTGTCTATGTCAACTAAAGTTCAACAACGTCAATTTAGCTGTAAAGTTGGCATGGGAGTTGTTACAGATTTTCCAGATGACTTAGAATACCTGCTGCATCAACAAGCAAATAACAACATTAGCGCTACAGGGTTAAAACCATTCTCTGGGAAAAGGATGATGTGTGCCGACCAGTCACTGATGCCTGTCGCATGGCTGCTACCACAATTTAAATCGCAATCTCTCTGCCAGTGCTATGGCTGTTTGAGACAGAAGATTCATAACTGAGCAAGTTTTTGCACTTTACAGAGGCTGTTCTAAGTCTCTGGAACATTCCCTCATAAAACAATAGAGTGCTAATGGATTTAATTCACCCTGCAGAGGCATCCATTAACAGATGAGGGATGGCTGGGGCATATTAGGGCTCATTCAACAGCTAAGAGTGTGTGGATTAGTCATTTGGGACTTGTTCTCCACTCTGCCTGGCCTGTAAGGAAGGAAATACACATTGATGTATGATTAACCATAGGAGAGTGCTAAGTGCTTTCTACTGGTGGGGAATGCACTATGAGTGACTGGCGGTGATTGACTAGGGAGCTCCAAAGATGATAAACTGTGCAGACTTTTTAAGATGTGTGTTTTATCATTAGGGTGGGTAAAGAGGATTGATTCCCTTAAGTGAAGTGCCAACAAAGAGAGTAGAAAGTAAAAGGAAAGATGAACCCAACAACTCTGGAGGAAAATAAGGTAAACATTTACATACTGTATTCAAAAAGCAACTGGAACTTTCACTTTTCTTCTTCTGGTATACTGGTGTTCACCTGTCAATGTGGCCTGTCGTCTTATAGTCAACAGTGCATTAGGGGAGCCCTCCAAAACCACTGTCAGATCACGTAGGCCAACTGTAATGTGAAATAGATAACAATGTGCACAAAGACTGTTAAACTGCACACCGCACACAAATTCACTCATTCAACAGGAACATGCATTACATTGTAATACATAAAAAATAATTCCTAACTTCAGAAAATACATGTTCATTCATGAATGTATTCATAAAGCACTTGCTGACATCACACACTCATTCATTGATTCATTTATTAATAAAGAACATCTGGCACTCTAACCTTACACAGTCATTACAAAGTTCAGAGGGAGGGAGGGTAGCATGAAAGAGAAAGGAGTAGGGAAGTGTTTATGTGGGATAAATAGAGTATGAAGGAAGTAGGAAAACTAAGTTGTGCGGCAAATTTGAGAGAAATAAGCTTTTTGTGCTTATGGAAAATTTCTGGGATCTTTTATTTCAGCTCATGAAACATGGGACCAATACTTTACATGTTGCGTTTATCGTTTTCTTTTCAGTATACAGTGCATTCGGAAAGTATAAGTATTCAGACCCTTTACTCAGTACTTTCTTGAAGCACCTTTGGCAGCGATACAGCCTCAAGTCTTCTTGGGTATGATGTTACAAGCTTGGCACACCTGTATTTGGGGAGTTTCTCACATTCTTCTCTGCAGATCCTCTCAAGCTCTGTCAGGATGGATGGGGAGCGTCGCTGCACAGCCATTTTCAGGTCTCTCCAGAGATGTTCGATCGGGTTCAAGTCCGGGCTCTGGTTGGGCCACTCAAGGACATTCAGAGACTTGTCCTGAAGCCACTCATGCGTTGTCTTGGCTGTGTGCTTAGGGTCATTGTCCTGTTGGAAGGTGAACCTTCGCTCCAGTCTGAGGTCCTGAGTGCTCTAGAGCAGGTTTTCATCAAGGATCTCGCTGTACTTTGCTCCATTAATCTCTCCCTCGATCCTGACTAGTCTCCCAGTTCCTGCTGCTGAAAAACATCCCCACAGCATGATGCTGCCACCACCATGCTTCACCGTAGGGATGTTGCCAGGTTTCCTCCAGACGTGACGCTTCGCATTCAGGCCAAAGAGTTGAATCTTGGTTTCATCAGACCAGAGAATCTTGTTTCTCATGGTCTGAGAGTCTTTAGGTGCCTTTTGGCAAACTTCAAGCGTGCTGTCATGTGCCTTTTACTGAGGAGTGGCTTCCGTCTCGCCACTCTACCATAAAGGCCTAATTGGTGGAGTGCTGCAGAGATGGTTGTCCTTCTGGAAGGTTCTCCCATCTCCACAGAGGAACTCAGGAGCTCTGTCAGCGTGACCATCGGGTTCTTGCTCACCTCTCTGACCAAGGCCCTTCTCCCCCGATTGCTCAGTTTGGCCGGGCGGCCAGCTCTAGGAAGAGTCTTGGTGGTTCCAAACTTCTTCCATTTAAGAATTATGGAGGCCATTGTGTTCTTGGGGACCTTCAATGCTGCAGACATTTTTTGGTACCATTCCCCAAATCTGTGCCTCGATACAATCCTGTCTCAGAGCTCTACAGATAATTCCTTCGACCTCATGGCTTGGTTTTTGCTCTGACATGCACTGTCAACTGTGGGAGCTTATATAGACAGGTGTGTGCCTTTTCAAATCATGTCCAATCAATTGAATTTACCACAGGTGGACTCCAATCAAGTTGTAGAAACATCTCAAGGATGATTAATGGAAACAGGATGCAACTGAGCTCAATTTCCAGTCTCATAGCAAAGGGTCTGAATACTTACAGTTGAAGTCGGAAGTTTACATACACCTTAGCCAAATATATTTAAACTCAGTTGTTCACAATTCCTGACATTTAATCCTAGTAAGAATTCCCTGTTTTAGGTCAGTTAGGATCACCACTTTATTTTAAGGAAGTGAAATCTCAGAATAATAGTAGAGAGGATGATTTATTTCAGCTTTTATTTCTTTCATCACATTCCCAGTGGGTCAGAAGTTTACATACACTCAATTAGTATTTGGTAGCATTGCCTTTAAATTGTTTAACTTCGGTCAAACGTTTCGGGTAGCCTTCCACAAGCTTCCCACAATTTTGGCCCATTCCTCTTCAAAGAGCTGGGGTAACTGAGTCAGGTTTGTAAGCCTCCTTGCTCGCACACACTTTTTCAGTTCTGCCCACAAATATTCTATACGATTGAGGTCAGGGCTTTGTGATGGCCACTCCAATACCTTGACTTTGATGTCCTTAAGCCATTTTGCCACAAATTTGGAAGTATGCTTGGGGTCATTGTCCATTTGGAAGACCCATTTGCGACCAAGCTTTAACTTCCTGACTGATGTCTTAGATGTTGCTTTAATATATCCACATAATTTTCCTTCCTCATGATGCCATCTATTTTGTGAAGTGCACCAGTCCCTCCTGCAGCAAAGCACCCCCACAGCATGATGCTGCCACCCCCGTGCTTCACGGTTGGGATGGTGTTCTTCGGCATGCAAGCCCCCCTTTTTCCTCCAATCATAACGATAGTCATTATGGCCAAACAGTTCCATTTTTGTTTCATCAGACCAGAGGACATTTCTCCAAAAAGTACAATCTTTGTCCCCATGAGCAGTTGCAAACCGTAGTCTGGCTTTTTTATGGTGGTTTTGGAGCAGTGGCTTCTTCCTTGCTGAGTGGCCTTTCAGGTTATGTCGATATAGGACTCGTTTTACTGTGGATATAGATACTTTTGTACCTGTTTCCTCCAACAAGGTCCTTTGCTGTTGTTGTGGGATTGATTTGCACTTTTCGCACCAAAGTACGTTCATCTCTAGGAGACAGAACGCGTTTCCTTCCTGAGCGGTATGACGGCTGCGTGGTCCCATGGTGTTTATACTTGCATATTATTGTTTGTACAGATGAACGTGGTACCTTCAGGCGTTTGATAATTGCTCCCAAGGATGAACCAGACTTGTGGAGGTCTACAATTTTTTTTCTGAGGTCTTGGCTGATTTCTTTTGATTTTCCCATGATGTCAAGCAAAGAGGCACTGAGTTTGAAGGTAGGCCTCAAAATACATCCACAGGTACACCTCCAATTGACTCAAATGATGTCAATTAGCCTATCAGAACCTTCTAAAGCCATGACATCATTTACTGGAATTTTCCAAGCTGTTTAAAGGCACAGTCAACTTAATATATATATAATCTTCTGACCCACTGGAATTGTGATACAGTGAATTATAAGTGAAATAATCTGTCTGTAAACAATTGTTGGAAAAATTACTTATGTCATGCACAAAGTAGATGTCCTAACCGACTTGCCAAAACTATAGTTTGTTAACAAGAAATGTGTGTAGTGGTTGAAAATCGTGTTATAATGGCTCCAACCTAAGTGTAGGTAAACTTCCAATTTCAAATGTATGTAAATAAGGTATTTCTGTTTTTTTATTTTTAATACATTTGCAAACATTTCTAAAAACTTGTTTTTTGCTTTGTCATTATGGGGTATTGTGTGTAGATTGATGTAACGTAACACAATGTGGTAAAAGGGAAGGGGTCTGAATACTTTCCAAATGCACTGTATATCACGAGTAAGTATATCATTTTCATCTATTATTTGTTATTTGTAAACTTTGCCATGAAATGAGCAGTAGCAGTACAAAACCATCCTTACACCGGCACATTAGACAGCACATTCCTCACTAGCTAGATGCAGCAATTAAAGGGCCAGATGCGTATTTAAAGACCTAAGAAAAATTGTCTTCTGATGTGAGTTAAGCATTGACATGGACTCAGAACATCCAATTTCAATATTTCTCTATGAACAATTGTAATTTTGAGAGTGAAAAACTAGGAAAAATAAAACTGAGAAAACATAATTAGGGAAAATATGTAACATTATTTTTGAGAAAAGTATTACAGATTTTATAGGGGCCCCCTTAGAGTTGTAGGGGAGAGGATAATAATGTGCCTATTTGAATGTGTAGCTTGCAATTAGTTTCATTTTTTAAAAGTAGCTCTCATGCTAGAAAAGGTTGGAGATCCCTGCTATAGCCTGTTCTGTTCAGTTTAGTGTCACGCCCTGACTCTGGGGACTCTTATTTGTTGAGTCAGGGTGTGATTTTCTATGTTGTGTTGTTCTATGTTATAGGTTCTTGTGTGGGTATTTCTATGTTGGCCGGTGTGGTTCCCAATCAGAGGCAGCTGTCGCTCGTTGTCTCTGATTGGGGACCATACTTAGGCAGCCTATTGGCACTAGTGGGTTGTGGGATCTTGTTCCGTGTGAGGTATGTTGTTTGTGTACCTTGGACTTCACGTTTCGTTTCTTGTTTTGTCGTTGTGTTTATAAGTCACATAAACATGTATGCATATCACGCTGCGCCTTGGTCTGACCCGTCTATGAACGAACGTGACATTTAGAAGGAGAGCGCAAAGATGAGAAGGAGGACCAAAGGTTCACTTTGATAGTTTGCTACTACTAGGCTATCATTGATTTGATTAAAAACAATATGTTTCTTGTCCATTATGTATTTATCAGAGTTATTGACCAACCTCACAATAAGCCAGATTCACATAACTTACAATATGGTCCTGAAACAATCAATCAAAATGGACAGCTCATGGTGCTGAAAGTAGGCAAATTAGAGTAGGAATAAGTCATTTAAAACATATTTATTTTAATTAGACTTTACTAACAACAAGAGGGCTTTGTGTTGGAGCCTATTTCTTCCTATTTAAGAAATAAGAGGTAGGCCTACCTGTTTGACAGACAATTAGGCTATAAGCTGCTATATCCATAGATTTGTTGGTCAATTCCTCCACCCACCATGCACTCTTTAAATAGCCTACCTCGTGTAAATAGCGTGCTGGTGAATGGCTGTTAAGTTAAAACCAAGATTCGAATTGAGGGGGTATGAGAGGGAATGCCATAAATCAAATCAAATCAAATCTTATTTGTCACATGCGCCGAATACAACAGGTGTATACCTTACAGTGAAATGATTACTTTCAAGCCCTTAACCAACAATGCAGTTTTAAGAAAAAATCACACACAAATACGATATAAAATAATACTAAATAAAAGTAACAAATAATTAAAGAGCAGCAGTAAAAATAAGAATAGCGAGGCTATATACAGGGGTACTGGTACCGAGTCAATGTGTGGGGGCACCGGTAATGGTAATTGGGGTAATAAGTACATGTAGGTAGAGTTATTAAAGTGACTATGCATAGATAATAAACAGAGAGTAGCAGCAGCGTAAAATAGGGGTGGGGGGGCAATGCAAATAGTCTGGGTAGCCATTTGATTAGATGTTCAGGAGTCTTATGGCTTGGGGGTAGAAGCTGTTTAGAAGCCTCTTGGACCTAGACTTGGCGCTCCGGTACCGCTTGCCATGCGGTAGCAGAGAGAACAGTCTATGACTAGGGTGGCTGGAGTCTTTGACAATTTTTAGGACCTTCCTCTGACACCGCCTGGTATAGAGGTCCTGGATGGCAGGAAGCTTGGCCCCAGTGATGTACTGGGCCGTACGCACTACCCACTGTAGTGCCTTGCGGTCGGAGGCTGAGCAGTTTCCATACCAGGCAGAGATGCAACCAGTCAGGATGCTCTCGATGGTGCAGCTGTAGAACCTTTTGAGGATCTGATGACCCATGCCAAATCTTTTCAGTCTCCTTAGGGGGAATAGGTTTTGTCGTGCCCTCTTCACGACTGTCTTGGTGTACTTGGACCATGTTAGTTTGTTGGTGATGTGGACACCAATGAACTTGAAGCTCTCAACCTGCTCCACTACAGCCCCGTCGATGAGAATGGGGGTGTGCTCAGTCCTCTTCTTTTTCCTGTAGTCCACAATCATCTCCTTTGTCTTCATCACGTTGAGGGAGAGGTTGTTGTCCTGGCACCACACGGCCAGGTCTCTGACCTCCTCCCTACCTTTTATTAAAGAAAATGGCAAAAAGCACAGGCCTAACCCTTGTTAGCTTAACATTTTGAAGAAAATAAAATGGATCAGATTATATAAAGTCATCTATAACAGCGCTTTGGTCCGCGATGCTTTATGCTAGAAATTGTTTCTAAGTAATCTAATACTGTCACTATCAATTGATTAAGCTATTCACTTTCTGTACAATAGAAGATGTTTAAACTCAGACAGCTTTTAGAGAAACACTTGTGACCGCTCGTTGGGTTAAGTTATGGAAGAAGAGTAGCCAGCAGTTAAAGCTTATATTTTTCTTTGTCGGTAGGCCTACTCTGTCTGGGGTGGAGAGGTAGGCCGAACTTTTGAACGTACCATGCTCAGATTCATAATGACGTCTCAGTTTTAATTATTTGCAAACAGGGACAGTTTCGTTGCAAACAAGACGCCCTGATTTGGCATTGGAGAAATATGATAAGATGAACACATAGGCCTATAAAGGGTTTAGGTAAAATATTTTATTTTAATTTCAGAGAGTTCCGTTTTTGTCCATGTAACCCTTATTATAAATAACGTTCACTCCCTTACTCCAATGTCTCTCGACCTGTGCATCTATGTTATACATTTCATTTGTAGGCTAGGTTGTAGCAACCTCATGATGGGTATAGGGCTCATTTAATTTGAGTATCATGTAGTAGCCTAAACCTATCGATGTTACATTGAGCGGGGTGAATGGAATATGAATGCCAGTCATCCAATATACTGTAATAGAATTAAGGCCATGCTCATATATTTTTTTTACAAAAATAGTCCTCGCTAATCTTAAACAGCACCGACCGCCTCTGGTGTGTGTGTGTGTTGAAAGATGGCAAGGCTGAGCCATCTAACTGCCCTTGGCATGGCACAAACTCAGTCGACAATCATTGTGTTTGTTTTTCAGCCCTCTCTCTAATCACATATGTATCATGTTGTACCATAACGTTGAGCAATGACCCACTCCCAGCTTTGCACAGTGAGAATGGAGCTCTCTCTTTACCTCTTTTTCTCTCTTTACCGCTCATAAATTATCCCTCTCTTTCTATCTTATTATTTCCCTCGTTCCCTCTCTCTAAAAAAGGTATCTCTCTCTTTCTTCATAAATGGGCTGTGACTCAAATCGTACGCCTCAAGTTAATAAAGACAGTGGCAGAAAGACAAATTATTTTTTACTTACAGAAGACATTAACATATTTCCATGCTGATGTTTATAGTTTTATGAAACACTTACTCCCCTTTCTGTGCCTTGCATCGCCAGATGTGCTCTTTCTTTACTCAATGAGTTTCTCATAGCATTGCTTCAGTCCTCCATCTGGGGGCGTGACTTCTGACATGCTGCGACAACTTCTGTCATAAGCCATCATAACAGCTGATGGGTTCACATAGCAACCATACCATTCTGTGTGATTCTTTCTAGGTGTTTGTTGTTTGTTACTTGACCAGAAGGCAGCTTCTTAGCAGGGATGTTTGGTCTCTTTATTTAACCTTTATTTTAACAGGGAGTCATGCTGAGACCAAGGTCTCTTTCACAGATGAGCCCTGTATACACATCAATATACACTATACACATCAATATACACTGAGTATACAAAACATTATGCTCTTTCCATGACAGACTGACCAGGTGAATCCAAGTGAAAGCTATGATCCCTTATTGATGTCACCTGTTAAATCCACTTCAATCCGTGTAGATGAAGGGGAGGAGACAGGTTAAAGAAGGATTTTTAAGCCTTGAGACATGGATTGTGTATGTGTGCCATTCAGAGGGTGAATGGGCAAGAAAATGCATGTCAATATTAGAAAGGTGTTCCTAATGTTTGGTATACTCAGTGTACATATTAATACACACATCAATATTCATATCAATACAGGAAAACCAAAACACAATCATAGAAAACAAACACACTATTCAGTAAAAAAGAGTTCAATCAGCCTTTTGAATTGCCCTAGAGGCCCCAGTTCATTCTACTTTAGAGAGCCTTGGAGATCGTTCCATAAGTAAGGTGCAAAGAAAATAAAAGCAGATTTACCTAACTCAGATCGAAGGGATCTCCAGAGTTAGCCAACCCTGAGACCAGGTCTGGTATCTCGTACGTTTATTTTTATTTTTACGTCTGTAAGTAACAATTAAGTAAGGTACAGCGTTTATGAAGCTTTATTAAGAAAAAGAGTGCAGTGCATCGATCTACTAGACTTCAAAGAGGGCCAGCCTACTTTCTGATACATAATGCAGTGATGTGTACTGAATCTATTGCCAGTAATAAAGTTTAGTGCGCTATGATAAACTGCGTCCAATGGATTCAATACAGTGGCAGCAGCATTCATATAGACAATATCTATAACCGGTATGAATGTCGACTGAATGATTTGTTTTCTGATATTTAATGAAAGGCATGACCTATTCTGTTCCTATAAAAGAAGCCCATTTTAATTCTTAATTTCTTAACTAACTCATACAACATACTTTTTGAATGATGGCTTTTTTTCAATCCAGATACCCAGATATTTATAAGTGGGGACACGATCAATAAAGGCATCATCCAATGTATACTGATCAAAAGATTAACACAACATGTAAAATGTTGGTCCCATGTTTCATGAGCTTAAATACAAGATCCCAAAATATTATTTCTCTCAAATGTTGTGCACAAATTTGTTTACATCCCTGTTAGTGAGCATTTTTCCTTTGCCAAGATAATCCATCCACCTGACAGGTGTGGCATATCAAGAAGCTGATTAAACAACATGATCATTACACAGGTGCTGGGGACAATAAAAGGCCATTAAAATGTACAGTTTTGTCACACAACACAATGCCACAGATGTCTGAAGTTTTGCGGGGGCGTGCAATTGTCATGCTGACTGCGGAAATGTCCACCAGAGCTATTGCCAGAGAATTGAATGTTAGTTTCTCTACCATAAGCTGCCTCCAATGTCGTTTTAGAGAATTTGGCAGTACGTCCAACTGGCCTCATAACCACAGACCACGTGTAACCACAACAGCCCAGGACCTCCACATCCGGCTTCTTCACCTGCGGGATGTTCTGAGACAAGCCACCCGGACAGCTGATGAAACTGTGGGTTTGCACAACCAAATAATTTCTACACAAATTGTCAGAAACCGTCTCAGGGAAGCTAATCTGCGTGCTCACCTTCGATGGCTACTGGCACCCTGGAGAAGTGTGCTCTTCACGGATAAATCCCGGTGTCACGACTTCCTCCGAGGCTGCCTCCTCTCCTTGTTCGGGCAGGCTTCGGCGTTCATCGTCACCGGCCTTCTAGCCACTGCCGCTCCTCATCTCATAATTCCATTTGTTTTGTCTTGTTTATTACACACACCTGGTTCATATCCCCTCATCAGTACCTGTATAAGTGTTCCCTCTGCCCCCTTGTCTTTGTGTGTGATTGTTCATTGTAGAGGATATATAGCTCGGTGGAGCTAGATTTGTATTGTGTATCGCCGGGATATTCAGCCGTGTGCCTTGTCTTCCCCAGTGCGCCATTTACCGCACTGGTGTTTATACGCATTGCTGCATACCTCTGTTTATTTGAATAAACCATGTATTCCGTGATTTCCTCTCCTGCGCCTGACTACGTCCAACATCACCCACTGTAGAATCACACACCCGAACAACATGGAGTCAGCAGGAACCGGGAATATGTCTGGAGTCGTGGAGCGGGTCCGGGAACATTCGAACATGCTAGCCAGCTTGGGCGAGGCAATGGATCGGGTTCTCCAGGTCGTCCATCACCTGGAGAGGAGAGGACCCGACCCTTCGAGACCTGCTGAGCGACTGGATCCAGCCACCCACACCCCAGCACCCAGAGGGATTCACCTTTCCCGACCGAGGGAGTACGACGGGACAGCGGGAGAAGGTGTCCGCCCGCGTATCCTGCCTCTCGGGCAAAACCCTGGAGTGGACAACTACGGGGAGTTCGCTCGCCTCTTCCGGGCCATCTTTGATCACCCTCCCGAAGGGAGAGAGGCGGGCGAGCGGCTGGTCCATTTGAGGCAGGGGACGAGGACTGCGCAGGACTTTGCCCTGGAGTTCAGGACTCTAGCGGCTGGGTCCGGGTGGAACGAGCGGGCCCTCATCGACCACTTCCGGTGCCACCTGCGAGAGGACGTCCTAAGGGAGCTAGGCTGCCGGGACACCACGTTGTCCTTCAATCAACTGGTAGACATGGCCATCCGGTTGGACAACCTGCTGGCTTCTAGAGGACATCCTGGGAGGGGCCTGACCCCGTTTCACTGTTGTGTTGGGTCTTACCTGGTTAGCACTACACAACCCCACCTTTTCATGGCCGCAGAGGGTTCTCACGGGGTGGTTGCGAGAGTGTCAGGGTAGGTGTCTGGCTGTTTCTGTTGGTGCAACCACGGTGGAAAGTCCAGACACTAGCTCCACCGTGCGCATTCCCCCCGAATACCTCGATTTGGTGCACACGTTTTCCAAAACGCAGACGACCAAATTACCACCTCATCGGGCGGGGGATTGCGCGATAAACCTCCGGGTAGACGCTGTGCCTCCCAGGAGTCATGTATATCTAATATAATATTTTTTTGTGAAGAAGAAAGACGGAGGTCTGCGCCCTGGCATTGATTACCGAGCACTTAACAAGGGGACCATTAGTTATAGTTATCCTCTACCCATCATTCCATCTATGATCGAGTCAATGCATGGGGAGCGTTTCTTCACAAAATTAGATCTCCGGAGTGTGTACAACCTGGTGCGTGTCCGAGAGGGGGACGAGTGGAAGACAGCATTCAGCACAACCACAGGGCATTACGAATACCTGGTGATGCTGTACCGTTTGATGAATGCTCCATCAGTGTTCCAGTCCTTTGTGAACAAGGTGTTTTGGGACATGCTTGGTTGCGATGTGGTGGTCTACATCGATGACATTCTGGTATATTCCGCTACACGCGCCGAGCATGTGTCCCTGGTTCGCAAAGTGCTGGGCCAACTTTTGGAACATTACCTTTATGCCAAGGCAGAAAAGTGTATATTTTTCCAGCAGTCCGTCTCCTTCCTCGGATACCGCATTACCACCTCAGGTGTGGAGATGGAGGGAGACCGCATTTCAGCCATGCGTGATTGGCTGACTCCAACCACAGTAAAGGAGGTGCAGCGCTTTCTGGGCTTTGCCAACTACTATCGGAGGTTTATCCGGGGCTTTGGCAAAGTCTCAGCTCCAATCACCTCTCTGTTGAAGGGTGAGCCGTCCCGGCTCCGCTGATCTGCTGAGGCTGACAGGGCCTTCAGTATCCTGAGGGCTCTGTTCACCTCAGCCCCGGTACTGGCCCATCCCGATCCATCACTACCGTTCGTAGTGGAGGTGGATGCGTCCGAGGTAGAGATAGGCGCTGTCTTATCTCAACGCTTGGGCAGCCACCCAAGCTCCGCCCCTGTGCCTTCTTCTACAAGAAGCTCAGCCCGGCGGAGCAGAACTATGACATTGGTGATCGGGAGCTGTTGGCTGTTGTCAGAGCCCTGACCGTGTGGAGGCACTGGCTCAAAGTCAATAAAAAGGGCAGGACAGTGCTTCCTCCTATTCATGACCTTTAACACATCATTCAACACCAAGGTTGCAGCAGAGATGGTGATATGACCCTGCCTGAAACCAGACTGGTGAACACTTAGAAAACATACAGTGGGGAAAAAAAGTATTTAGTCAGCCACCAATTGTGCAAGTTCTCCCACTTAAAAAGATGAGAGAGGCCTGTAATTTTCATCATAGGTACACGTCAACTATGATAGACAAATTGAGAAAAAAAATCCAGAAAATCACATTGTAGGATTTTTAATGAATTTATTTGCAAATTATGGTGGAAAATAAGTATTTGGTCACCTACAAACAAGCAAGATTTCTGGCTCTCACAGACCTGTAACTTCTTCTTTAAGAGGCTCCTCTGTCCTCCACTCGTTACCTGTATTAATGGCACCTGTTTGAACTTGTTATCAGTATAAAAGACACCTGTCCACAACCTCAAACAGTCACACTCCAAACTCCACTATGGCCAAGACCAAAGAGCTGTCAAAGGACACCAGAAACAAAATTGTAGACCTGCACCAGGCTGGGAAGACTGAATATGCAATAGGTAAGCAGCTTGGTTTGAAGAAATCAACTGTGGGAGCAATTATTAGGAAATGGAAGACATACAAGACCACTGATAATCTCCCTCGATCTGGGGCTCCACGCAAGATCTCACCCCGTGGGGTCAAAATGATCACAAGAACGGTGAGCAAAAATCCCAGAACCACACGGGGGGACCTAGTGAATGACCTGCAGAGAGCTGGGACCAAAGTAACAAAGCCTACCATCAGTAACACACTACGCCGCCAGGGACTCAAATCCTGCAGTGCCAGATGTGTCCCCCTGCTTAAGCCAGTACATGTCCAGGCCCGTCTGAAGTTTGCTAGGATGATCCAGAAGAGGATTGGGAGAATGTCATATGGTCAGATGAAACCAAAATAGAACTTTTTGGTAAAAACTCAACTCGTCGTGTTTGGAGGACAAAGAATGCTGAGTTGCATCCAAAGAACACCATACCTACTGTGAAGCATGGGGGTGGAAACATCATGCTTTGGGGCTGTTTTTCTGCAAAGGGACCAGGACGACTGATCCGTGTAAAGGAAAGAATGAATGGGGCCATGTATCGTGAGATTTTGAGTGAAAACCTCCTTCCATCAGCAAGGGCATTGAAGATTAAACGTGGCTGGGTCTTTCAGCATGACAATGATCCCAAACACACCGCCCGGGCAACGAAGGAGTGGCTTCGTAAGAAGCATTTCAAGGTCCTGGAGTGGCCTAGCCAGTCTCCAGATCTCAACCCCATAGAAAATCTTTGGAGGGAGTTGAAAGTCCGTGTTGCCCAGCGACAGCCCCATAACATCACTGCTCTAGAGGAGATCTGCATGGAGGAATGGGACAAAATACCAGCAACAGTGTGTGAAAACCTTGTGAAGACTTACAGAAAACGTTTGACCTGTGTCATTGCCAACAAAGGGTATATAACAAAGTATTGAGAAACTTTTGTTATTGACCAAATACTTATTTTCCACCATAATTTGCAAATAAATTCATTAAAAATCCTACAATGTGATTTTCTGGATTAGTTTTTTCTCATTTTGTCTGTCATAGTTGACGTGTACCTATGATGAAAATTACAGGCCTCTCTCATCTTTTTAAGTGGGAGAACATGCACAATTGGTGGCTGACTAAATACTTTTTTCCCCCACTGTAGCTAGGAAGGATCTAAGTTGATTCATGATTTGAACAGTTTTGCTAGGCAAGACAATTTTGAGATAGGGCGATAATTATTTAGGTCGGAAGGATCACCACCTTTGTGGAGCGGGAGCACATGGTCCGCCTTCCAAACCCTGGGATTAGCACTAGAGATAATCACAAGTAGGAAGTTGTTGAAATGAAAACAAAGATTCACTAGAGGTTGACTGATCTTCCATCGAGCCAACTGGAGGCTGCAGAGGAAAGAGTAGTCGACTGACTGACCAGGGTCAATTAAACCACCATTAAAAAAAAAAAGAATCCTGATTAAAAGCATCACTTATCACATTTTCTTCCTTAGGCAGGGAAGGATAGGAATTTCCAAGCAGATCACCAGCAGAGATAGAACTTAAAAAGTAACTTGATTTAGCTTTCTTAATTGAGGAAGTACATCTATTTCTCAATTGCCTGAAACAATGCACAATCAGCTACCGAGTCAGTTCTTCTAGGCTTGGCCCAGGCCTGATTTCTCATCATAATGAGATCTGAAGGTTCTATAGAGAACCAAGCATTTGTTCTATTTCTAACTCTAAGGCGTTCAAAGGGGGTGTGTTTGTCTGCCAGAGATATACAAATATATGAGAAAAGTTCTAGAGCCAATTCAGGGTCAGGCATACAGCTGATAGAGGAAAGCTCAGAGCAATACATGTAATGAAAAAATGCCTGGGGAGAATTTTCAAAAAACATAATGTTGTTCTGTTTGTTATCTCTAATACATGCAACAGGACAGTGATCACTGATGTCATTAGCAAAGACACCACTCAACAAGTACTTGTGGGGGCTATTTGTCAAAATGAGGTCAATCAGCAAGGAGTTTGCTGGGTTTCTTACATGAATCCATGTAGGTTTGGAGATTAGTTGAGTCAGGTTAAAGTCAAGACACATATTCTTTAAATGAGCAGAGGCCGGGGTAAGCCAATCCAGGTTAAAATCTCCTAAAATAACTAATTCAGATGACAGAAAAGCTTTTAAATATTCAGAAATAGTATCAACAGCATCCTATTATAGCTGCTATAGTAAAGAGGTTGTGAGGGTATGTTAAATCCCTGGCCCTTCAGTCTCCATCAGCCCCAAACCAAGGGGAATACCCTCATCACTCATGGCACTGTGCTATCTAATGTAGGCTAACACTGACCCAGTGGCAAGTTACATCTAATATGGCTCTGCTATTGTGAAGGATTGTTCCAGGACATCTGATCTTGCTATCTCATTCCTTTCATATTTCTCATCTTTCTCCTCAGGTGTTCACTCGCTATGGGAAGTGTTACACGTTCAACGCGGGTGGTGAGGGCCACACCCCTCTCGTAACTACAAAGGGAGGGATGGGTAACGGGCTGGAGCTCATGCTGGACATTCAACAGGATGAGTACCTCCCTGTGTGGGGAGAGACAGGTGAGGACAAAAGTGTGTGTGTGTGTGTGTGTGTGTGCGTGTTTGTGGTTTAAGTCCAGTTCATTACACAGCTCACACGTGTGTTGCTCTATCAAACAGACCACTCTAGCTGCTCGCTGGAGCCAGTGGGTTCATTAGTTAAATAAAAGATGCATGGATGGTGCAGTGATCCCTGCCTCTGTTCTCCTCCCCACAGACGAGACAACGTATGAGGCTGGGATCAAAGTTCAGATCCACAGTCAGGAGGAGCCTTCCTTCATCGACCAGCTGGGCTTCGGGGTGGCACCTGGGTTCCAGACCTTTGTTTCCTGCCAGGAACAACGGGTAAGGACATTACCCTTATTTGTTAGACTTTATTTCAACAAAGAAGTAATAATTTTACAATATGCTGTAAGCACCACCTGTGTAACTGTTGTAGGGTTGAACACCTATGCAATTGTAGTTGTAGCTTATGTGTGTTATGTGTTTGTGTTCTAGCTGATATATTTGCCCCCACCATGGGGGGACTGTAAGGGGACACGGATAGACTCAGAATTCTTTGAGTCCTACAGCATCACCGCCTGCCGTATCGACTGTGAGACGCGCTACCTGGTGGAGAACTGTAACTGTCGCATGGTACACATGCCTGGTAGGTGAACCCTCCCACTCAGCCGTTTACCTAGTTTGGACTTTTTAAGTTTTCAAGTTCAACTCATATTGATTGATTCACTCTCTGTGTGCAGGAGATGCCCCATACTGCACCCCTGAGCTGTACAAAGAGTGTGCTGATCCAGCTCTTGGTAAGGAATAGATCCAGACTGCTGTTTCTTAGACCATAACAACTGTATTTTAGTCCCTATATCACTTACATGGACTAAAAAGAGAGGAAGTGGTAATGCTGTGGTCTTTCTCTTTGCTCCCAGACTTCCTGGTGGAGAAAGACAATGATTTCTGTGTGTGTGAGACGCCGTGCAACATGACCAGATACAGCAAGGAGCTGTCCTTCGTCAAGATCCCCAGCAAGGCCTCTGCCAAGTATCTGGCCAAGAAATACAACAAGTCAGAGCAGTACATAGCGTGAGTCTTGTGTTCCAAACACCAGATAAAAACTTTACAGTGGCTATAAGGTGAATGCACCAATTTGTAAGTTGCTCTGGATAAGAGCGTCTGCTAAATGACGTAAATAGAAATGGAAATGGAAATGGCAAATACATTTGCTTTGGGCTTTGGCCCTTGCATCTTTGACCCTCCAGTTCCATTTCCAATACACAGCAACTAAATAAAGATTTTCTCTATCAGAACCTTCATATGTAAACTGTTTGCTGTTTAGATGTTGAATATGGTCTCTTTCTGTAACAGTGACAATATCCTGGTTCTGGACATTTTCTTTGAGGCTCTAAACTATGAGATGATCGAACAGAAGAAAGCCTATGAAGTAGCAGGACTTTTAGGTATTTCAATGATGATGAAAAAATCATTAATTTTCTTTTAAAGGATACTTTGTTGGAGATGTGTATCTTTTGGGGAAGTTTCTTGTCTTTGATAATCTTGTCCTTCTCTGTCCTTCCCAGGTGATATTGGAGGTCAGATGGGTCTTTTCATTGGAGCCAGTATCCTTTCTATTCTGGAGCTGTTTGACTACATCTATGAGGTAATCTTTTAATTCTCTCTAGTACTCTACAGTGACAGAAAACAACCACATGTCCGTTATGCTTTCTGCCTGACTCATTATTGTAAGCTTTTAGAAAAGCAGAATGAAACATTTATGCTTGCTACACATAACTGTCAAAGAGGGAGGCACATACACAGGAATGACTCCAAAAATATACACATTTTCTCTTACCTTTTCTCTCAAATCGAGAGCATCACTGACCTTTGTAGGGTGCATCTATGTTTCCTCACAGGTGATAAAGTACAAGCTCTGTCGATGCTCAGAGAAGAAACACAAGCACAGCAACAACGACCAGGGAGCTGTTCTGAGCCTGGACGATGTGAAATGTCACGTCAGTAACTTTCACTAAGCATTTGCAGCTCTCAGAAGAAGGCAGCCATATTGCTTCATGTCTAAACATCTCAATGAAGAATTTCATGTGCATGAAGCCAGGTTGTTTTTGTAAAAGAAAATGTGTTCTAAATGAACGTACCTGGTGAATGTGTGTGGGGGGATATGTCTAGTTTTACCTTGCACACAGCAGGATACAAGACAACCAATCCAATGATCCACATGTATCCATTGGATTTCATTGTCTAATGTAAATGGCTTTGCAACAGAACAATGGAATACCAAATCGAAGATCAAATATACAAAAGTGTTATCTCTAAAACTTCTGTTGATATTTTTTTCTGAGCAACAGATAAGAAAATATAGTTAAAATGGATATCAATTGAGGTTGTGTTGTTGTGTATCAGCTTGAGAAACATGTCTTCACCCCATCAATTTCCATCAAGTTGTCCTTAAAATCTAATCTTAGTGTCTAATTTAAAAGGGTGCTTTCTACAAATGTTTAAAGCATATCTGCAAAAGGATACACTTTTAAATGCATGACTATATTGTCTGTTAACTCTGCTTTTCTCACTGGGTGTCTTTCATGAGTTTACAGGGTAGGTAGCATAAACGTAACCACATGTAACATATGGATTTTCATTAGTATACGCATCAAAAGTCAAAATGCAAAGTTACACCTCACTTTTCTATTTTTTGAGTATTACATAAAACCGATCAGAATTCCGAAGAATACCGAAGTCATGTTGGAAAATATTTTCCCGGGATGTGATGTAATATTGAGGAACCTGGCAAGCCAGCCTATTCCATATAATGTAAACTCAGACAGAAATAACTTAAAATATATAACTTAAAATTAAACCAAATCATTTGCACTCATGACTACTGGTTTCAATTGAATTTTCGGCCAACTTACAAACAAATACTTTATGAATTTATTGTTACAAATCAATGTGCAAGGTTGCTAGCCAACTAGCCTGTTAACGGTATCCCTAGTAGCCTTTTAACGTTAGCCCTACCAGCCTGCTAACATCATGTCAGGTAGGTAACAATAGCTATTTAGCCAACTAGCTATTAGCCTAGCTAGCCTAGCCAACCACCACAAACACAACACAACTATAACCGCAGATCAAAAGCAAAGAAAGAGCACAGACTTACAGATTGATAGCTGGGGCCCATCCGATAGTAAAACTATTAAAAGAGTACAGGCTGAGTTAGCTACCAAAGCAAGGGGGAGGCGGGTGCTTCACCAGAGAGGGAGAGTCAGGGAAATCCAATTGCTATATTGCGAGAAAAATCCAAAATAGATAGATTCCAGATGTCAGTCAGCTAGTGGGCTAGCACTAAGCCAAGGTGGAAAAAGTTACTCACGTAGCCAGAGAACTTGCCGAAAAGTTGACAAAACAAAAAGGAGAACAGATGCGGTACTACACAATTAGAGCAAGCAGATATGTTTTTCTCTTTCTTTTTGAGCCCACAGCAAGAAGGCACCAGAGCCTGACGTGCTAACAGGTTCCCACTAAAGAGCATGAGGATGCAGCATGGCCGCACGTGCCCATCTGTTCATTGTTTACATCACACTTCCTCCTGATTGGTGGATTGTAGCTCACCACGGTCAACACTTGGTCTGGAATGTAATTACATGCTAGCATGGCTAGTGGCTAACGATAGCCAGTTTGAGCAAACTACCGAGCTAGCATACAAACTCGGTAGCACAGAGTAGATTATCCATATGACATTGAGAAATAGTGCATTGTGGGTAGTTTAGAAGATATCCGGAAATAAGTTAATAAATATGTATTAACCCAAAAATATAACTATATTTGTACTTATAGGTAACCAGATCATGACTACAACTAAGTTACAAAGTCTTTGATCACACTGTGTTGTTACATTGGTGAGTAAAAACTCATGCTTCCTACCCTTTAAGTTTAACTTGTCTTTTTGTTTTGTTATTTGCTCATACTCCCACTCTTTTTTTTGTCACCCTATCCATTTCACATTATCCACCCCAGTCTCTCCATGACAATGCTCATCCACCACCTCCATACTCTGCCAATATGCTACTTTATCACACAGAGCGGAGTAACTCAGAGGACTTCACCTGCTGAGCCAATCAGAACACAAGGGAGTAAGGAAGTGGAGCATTTCAGTTTGATTCAAAAGTAGACAGATGTCAGAGTATAAAGCTTATTTGTACAGAATCTTGATGATGGGAAATACGTAACACTTCAATAGCACTTAAGTCTCCACTGGTGCAAGAGTAGTGCTAGCCAAGTATAGCTTGCTTGATGATAATGACTGCAGTCACAATGTCATGAAAGTGGCTATTTCAACCCATGTATACTGAACAAAAATATAAACTCAACATGCAACAATGTAATTGATTTTACTGAGTTACAGTTCATATGAGGAAATCAGTCAATTAAAATAAATTCATTAGGCCCTAATATAGGGATTTAACATGACCAGGAATACACATATGCATCTGTTGGTCACAGATACCTTTAAAAAATGGGCCTCACAATGGGCCTCAGGACCTCGTCACAGTATTTTTGTGCATTCAAATTGCCATTGATAAAATGTAATTGTGTTCGTTGTCTGTAGCTTATGCCTGCCCATACCATAACCCTACCGCCACCATGGGGCACTCTGTTCACAATGTTGACATCAGCAAACTGCTTGTCCACACGACGCCATACACGTGGTCTGCGGTTGTGAGGCCGGCTGGACATACTGCCAAATTCTCTAAAACGATGCAACAGCTCTGGTGGGCATTCTTGCAAACAGCATGCCAATTGCACGCTCCCTCAAAACTTGAGACATCTGTTGCATTGTGTTATATGACAAAACTGCACATTTTAGTGGCCTTTTATTGTCCGCAGCACAAGGTGCACCTCTGTAATGATCATGCTGTTTAATCAGCTTCTTGATATGTGGATGGATAATCTTGGCAAATGAGAAATGCTCACTAACAGGGACTAAACACATTTGTGCACAAAATTTGAGCGAAATAAGCTTTTTATGCATATGGAACATTTCTGGGATATTTTATTTCAGCTCATGAAACATGGGACCAACACTTTACATGTTGCATTATATTTCTGTTGGCTTTGGTTGTGTGATGGTGGAAAATGTCCTCTGATCGGCTTGTAGATATTTGGTTGAATGTGTGATAAGATCTTCAGGGCTCCCCACTGGGTTGCATGTATGTCATCATAAACTGTGTTTTCTGTAAGCAGTATATTGGCATGTTTGTCCATGTTACATCTGATGTCTGTTTGTGTGTATGGTTGTGTGTGTGTGGGGTGGGGGGTGGGGTGGTGGGTGATGGGGGTGCATGCCTGACGTGAAGGTGGGGGGGGGGGGGGGGGGTGCATGTTCTTTTTGAGTGTGTCTGTTTGTGTTTTGAGTGTATGTGTGTGTGATACTTCAAGAGTAATACATTTTCTCAAGTTGATGAATAGCAGTCATGAAATTGGCACGTTTTCTAATTTACTCTCTATTGGTCAAGTTGACACAATTCAATGAAGTAGCATTTTCATAATGTATTATAGTGTAAAAAACAATTAATTTTCCAATTCAATAGATTGTTCACCATTTTCTAAGAAATAAAACGGAGAAGTCAAAATGGTGCTTTCCTTTTTAATAGTTATACAGCCAAATGAATAGACTAGATAGAACTATGATGACAGATGTCAAAACACCTCTTTGACAATGGTAATATTGCCTGATTCCCCAAAGTTAAACCATTGGACCACTGTTACTACAATATATTTTAATATGAACCATTGGAGGTAGTTAGGAGCACCTACAAATGATGAAACCAATCTCTTATCACTCATGCCTCATATAGCTATGCTAGATGTCTTTCTCATAGGAAAAGGGGAGTTATATGATAGTGTGTAACTGTGTAGTGTTATTCTCAAGCACAACAGTATCATCAACATGTAAATTGAATGTAAATAAAATGCTGCAAGTAAGGAATATGGATAATGTTCTGATCGTGTCTTGCCTACTGTTGTTGATGTAATTAATGTAGCTACAGTATGTGTATGTGATCTTACTTTTGTTTTTCTATGAATACTACCAGTTTACATGTTTTCAAATGTTTTATTTATCATAAAAGCAACAATAAAGTATAATAACATTTCAATTCAGTGGAATCTGGCTTCATTTTTGGGAAGATCTGAAGAAAGTCTTTTTAATTTTTTATGATGGCCCTAACTTCTTACAACTGTTTCATATCCATGCCAGCTATACCTTTCCTGTACTACAAAGAAACAGAAAAAGCACATACAATACTTCCCAGAACTTAATACCATACCAAAATATATGTACACAACATGGGGTAAAGGAAGTTTACAACCAGGGTCTATGTAAACCATGTCTGAATAGGCACTTTTCTGTGTAAAAACAACAACTGAAAACTTCCTCTATTTGACCAAATTGTAGAATCTAAACTGCTGAATATATTATTCTATTAGAATGTCTGTGTTCCCTTGTGACCAGTCCCTCCCCCCAACAAGGTCCCCTTTTGTTACAACACTCCAATAGTGTCTCACACAAGACTCCCTCCTTCTGCCAGTTAGTGTTGCTTATGAGATTATGGTCTGTGAAATTAACATTTGAGACAATGAACAACACCCAAGTCATCTGAGGACAGCAGCTGAGATTCGTGCTGCATGCAGGACTTCTGCACGAGACCCACCAAACCCATTGAGATTAGTCACAGTGTTGGGAGGATAGTTAAGGGTGGTTAAAATACAAACGGGCAGGGTAGTGAAAATGTAATTGGAGGAGAGATACATCCCTGCCTGAGAGAAAGGTGACACAAAGTAAATATTTTCCCCCCTCCTTTTAAATCTGCTGAGTTGCAGATATGAAATCATTTGAATTGAGATCAGTGGAATGTTGAGTATGCCAGCCCTGCTAAACTAATCTGCTCAACAAAGGCTGCATTTTATTCAAGGTGTATATATATCCAAGGTCATGATGCAAGTCTCAGCTTTACATTTTAATTTTAGTCATTTAGCAGACGCTCTTATCCAGAGCGACTTACAGTTAGTTAGTGCATACATTTTTATCTTTTTTCATACTGGCCCCCTGTGGGAATCGAACCCACAACCCTGGCGTTGAAACGCCATGCTCTACCAACTGAGCTACATCCCTGCCGGCCATTCCCTCCCATACCCTGGACGATGCTTTGATTTCATAGTTTCTCATTAAGAATAATGAAGAGCCTTACAGTATGTCTCTCACAGTTGTGTTTTTTTTTCTCCAGATGGTGATGTTTGCACCTGTCTTTCTTTTCAAATTTTAATCAATTAAAACTGTCCCACATTGAACGGTTGACCAAGTTACTTTTCAGCCACGTTAGGTTACTTTTCAGCCTACTCACCAACGACTGGCAGTTCGATTAAGCTGAACCGTGGAGCACATGTCTATGGCCCGTGACGTGAACGGACAACAGCTGTGAGGGAGGTGCCCTTCTCAAATCGAACAGTATTCTGCGCCACTCGGTCATGTTGTCAACAAGGCAGCATATTTCAGATACGTATCCATAAATTATATGTTCGAATTAAAGCATATTTATCATCAGTAATCACTTTTGCATGAGAAACACAGAATCCTACTCATTAATCCACGTGCTTAAGTACTTAACCTACGTCACTTTTGTTATGAGACGACTTCGCCGTCGGCCAGAGCGGGTACCTGGCTCACGCCTGGGAGGTAGCCCGGTTCCAAAACGAATGCAATCACTTTTCACCCGGTGTAATCTCCTTGCACCGGGGAAAACCGGACCAGATAATCGAATGCCCTCAACGATAGTCCTTGGCTGAAAAGTGGGCGGGACTGTGTCTCCCCTCCGACTAACCAATGAAATAAGAGCTAGATCTACAAAGCCATTTGTGCACTGCTTTTACTTACAAAGTACGCTGTGTCAGTTCAATTCACATAACGTTTTTGTCAGTCGGTAAGGGTCGTTTCAATGGCAACTCCCAAGAAAGTCTGCATTATTGGCTCTGGCAATTGGTAAGGAAAGTTATCTATATTGAAGGCTTTGTGTGTGGGTGTACTGCAGCTAGCTATCATAGATAGCTTGGCTTCACTGACCAGCTAATGCTATCCGCATTTTCCATAGAAACAGGTCGCTCGAGCGGTAACTTTAGCTAGAACGGATCACCGAAGGTCGGGAGACCCCTGCCACATCTGTGCGTTACACCTTGACCAAACTGGTTCTGCTCATGTTAATTTTTGTCAATCCTCACCAGACGCGTTCATGACAAACAGGTTAAAATACAAAAGCCAACTATATTAATTTGGTGACAGGTCGAAACACACATGAAACATTCATGGGCATTTTAGCTAGCTTTCTGTTGCTAGCTAATTTGTCCTGGGACTGGAGATAAACATTGGGTTGTTATTTTACTTGCCAGAAGATACAGACCTTACCATTAAGCTTGTTTACACTGAGCTGCACTGAAGTCAGAACGCACAACACTAGGCTGGACACATTACATTTTTAACAATGCTTTTTTCTGATAAAAACGAGTTCATTGCATCCGCCATGGAGCTCAGTTTCATAATATTACCATATGTCCAGCTGCTTGCCATAGTTTTGAAGTAATCCTGAAAAAAACAGGCCTTATTTTAGGGCATTTTTCACCCTGCCAGCTCCTATTAGTTCTATTGAGCACCGTGGCACCAACTCGCCTTCCAAAAGTTTTATTTCCAGCCCGTTGTTCTACGTCACAATGCCTGCTTCGCTATTGTTGGCAATGAGACCTGCCCAGGTTGAACCAATTGCTGATAGTTAAAACGTCAACAAGTTAAAACGTCAACAACAACAAAAAAATTACTCATGGAACTCTGAGGTCGTCCCATTGTTTCCTATAGGGGAAATATAGATATATGTCTGTCTATTTCGCCAAATATCTCGCAATGTGTATATTTTTATTTTTTTCACATCGGGCACCATTTTAATCACGACAATCTCCTCTTTCTAATTATGTAAGGCTGGGCAGCGTACTCCATTGTCATCGATCGCTAGACCAGAAATAGTCAGAAGTTGACATTTATTTCCTACTTCCTCGTTATGCAGACATAAGCACAGTTGACACCATCGAGGTGTGGATGTTTACTTTCTACACAAGTTGTTATTTTTCAGTTTTGTCCTAAGAACAGATTGTAGTGGTAAAATGAAAAGGTATACATTTTTTGGTGCCATTTAGGCGAAATTGAATTCTAAGCATAATTCCAGTCAAAATAGGCTCTGCGAACGTTCGATTCAATTAATTTGCTATGGGCTCGTGCTAGTGTTACAGTTTAGCCAACGTTCTATTGCCATTTTTCAGACTTGGGTGAATTTTCACTCGTTCTATTGTCCAGCCTAACAACACTATCACAGCTTATTGTGAAATAGACACACATTACTTGTATGTACACAATTTATCACAATGCATTTCGTGTGAATTACACAATTGTATTTCTTCATAGTTGAGGACCTTATTACTGATGAATGTGTTTGTTTTTTATGACTGTTCTTTCTGCTTGCATTTTGGATTTATAATGATGTGTGTATTTTCTGTCATTTATGTAATTCAGGGCTCATCTGTAAAAGAGACCTTGGTCTCAGTATGACTCCATGATAAAATAAAGGTTAAATAAATAACGCATTTGTGTACATTACACAAATTCCAATTTGTTGTGGCTAACTTTAGCTAGGCCAGCTAGGTGGCTAACGTTAGCTAGGCTAGGGGTTGGGGTTAAGGTTAGGGCAAGTTAACATGCTAGCTAAGTAGTTAAAGGGTTAAGGTTAGGGGAAGGGTATGCTAACATGCAAAGTAGCTCAAAAGTAGTAAGTAGTTGCAAAGTAGCTAATTAGTGAAAATGCTAAAGTTATCCATGAAGAGATTCGAATACACAACCTTTGGGTTGCTAGACGTTAGCGTTATACGCCCACCAACTGGACTGGAGTGTGGACCTCGTTCATCTTTCAATCACCCATGTGGGTCAGTATGCTCGTAAAAACCAATGAGTCGATGGGAGAGGCGGGACTTGCAGTGTCCAAATTATATTTTAGCGCCTGGCTACACAGACACCTGTTGACGCGAGTGAGCAGTTTGGATGAAATTATTGAATGTATGTGTACATTTTATTTTGCAACACTTGTGCACACAACGCGGTCGGTTTAGTTAGCATGTTAGAGATGTTGACAATGAGTATGATGGGTCTAATCTTTAATGCCCTGGAAGCTCCGATTCAAACTCCCATTAGACAGCTCTGCAAGCGTTATGCCAAAATACGTTCCTTACTCACAAAATATAGAGTTTCGCTGAGTAACTATCTTCATTTACTCCAGCTACGGCCGGTATGTATTTTTACGTTCGTTTTTATATTGGGTGTTCTGGTTTTCTCCCGTCAATAGCTATTGAACCAAACATGCCATGAAAATGTTATATTGTGAATCAGGGGAGGATGGAGAACAATCAGCACCTTTGTGAATTTTGGATATATATTTTTTAAAGATTCACACAAAAAGGTTGATTGTTCTCCATCCTCCCCTGATTCAGAATATACAATTTTCATTGTCATGGCATGCTTGGTTCATGCAATTGACGAGAGAGAACCGAATATCCAATATAAAACTAGTTTTACCTCTGTGCCGAACCAAGGCTCTCTAAAAAGTTGGTTAAATAATACTTTCCTGTTGATATTTTGTCGCAAATTTCGAGCAACTGAAGAACAAACCGCACAGACAAGAGTAAGTTTACATAATTCTATTCCACATTCTGGCTTGTAAGGAACATTTACACTATTTTGCAGGCTTTAGTTTCAGGCTGTATATACCAGTTAATTGTGTATTACAGCCTGATTTATCAGACTAGAAGGACATTTGCTTTAAAAATGAAATGCAGGAAGTTAGCTGTTTTCCTACAAAATATATTTTCCCAAAAATATATATATTTGGGGGGATCCTGGAGGTAGGGCCCCAAATGCGTTAGTCCAGCCCTGTTACCCACCTGCCATGCCAATTAAGTGAAGCTGCTTTCGGCTTGAAATGACGTACAGTTTCAGGTAGAGTTTGCAACATTTGTAATCTTTAATGTATCACCACAGGTATTAATCGAGTTATGAGATGAATAGTGCTGTTGCAATGTAATGTAATGTTAGCCAGAATTGGCCACTGCATGCAAGGCCAACAAACAAACTTTAGCTGGGTGACCATCAATCCAACTGACCTCAACCATAAAATGGAGCAACTACCATTTGCCTATTTAATAGGATAATTGAGAAGTCAATCTTGCAAGTTGCACATTTGCAATACGATTAAGTGGTTTGGGCTCCTTTCCAAAAAGTATTTTTGTCACTTGCATTCTTAATTCTAGGGTGCATTGTGCAGAGTTGAATTGTTCTTGTAGAAAACCATAGACCGAATAGAATAATGTGTATATTGCAATTTCTCTACTACACAGGGGCTCTGCCATTGCCAAGATAGTAGGCGCCAATGCTGCTCATAACTCCAAGTTTGACAACACGGTGACCATGTGGGTGTTTGAGGAGATGGTGGATGGTCGCAAACTGACAGAGATCATCAACACTGACCATGAGAACGTCAAGTACCTGCCTGGACACAAGCTACCCCCCAATGTGGTGAGGAGCACATCGCATGGTGCTATGTGTTGTAATCCTACTCGGGAATGTGAATTTTAAAAAAATATTCCTGTTTTCTATAATCCTTTATTCACATAATTGAAATTGACCTACCCCTAAGCCAATACCTGTTTTGCCTGTTTCAATGTTACCCTCATCACATCTTTGCCTAATGCTGTGTGACAGTTTGTTCTGTCACAACTAGGAGGTCCTAAACCTGCTTAGTAATAAACTGCTGTGGGGAATGATGTCAGCTGCCTTCTGCTGGACCATATGTGTAAAGGGTCAGCCCTGGCTCAGTTATTATGTTTTGCAGCTGTCCTTGCAGCTCTCAGTACCTCTCACTACAATCCACAGTACACCCCATAGCAATTTCCGAGAGGAGTTCTCCCAGGATTAGAATGAAACTAAACTAACTACTCCGTGAACCCCTGCCCCGTGGCTTGCACTCAACAGATTTGGTAGGATGAGTCATGCTGACTTGACTAATTTAGCGCAGTCACTGCATTATGTTACACAATTATAAAATAACTGTTTTTAATGAAATTGTTTCTGGCGAGAGGACAGATTTTTGATACCTTTTGATGTAGCTTTGTGGACTGTGGCACCCACTATTTAGAATTAATAACGGATTAATTTGACAATGTGCAACTTGACGAAGATCCTTGCAGGATCTAAACGTTTGTTTGTGATGGAGCTTATGAGTGTGCAGGCTCTATTTATTTTATATTTACAATGTGCAAGAACTACATGAGACAAGCAGACCAAGACCAGTGCCCTTACTGTCCCCTCTTCTGTTTCTCCCCCAGTTGGCAGTTCCTGAGCTGGTGGATGCTGCCAAGGAAGCAGACATCCTAGTGTTTGTGATCCCTCACCAGTTCATTGGCGGAGTGTGTGACACCATGAAGGGGAAGATAAAGATTAATGCACTAGGAATGTCACTCATCAAGGTTTGGCTAATACCCATGCTCTCTTCACTCTCAGTTGGTAGAGCAGGGCTCTTGCAACGGCATCATAGTTTGATTCCCGGTACCACCCATATGTGTAAAAATAAATAAATATGTATGCACGCATGGCACTAAGTCGCTTTGGATAAAGGTGTCTGCTAAATGGCATACAGTGTCTTAAGAATGTATCACGCCAGGCACACAAATACATGCTGGGTTTGTATAGATCAACATTTTTGTTAAGCCTGAATTGTAACTGATTAATTGAGATTTTTTGACCCTGTACTCATCCCATAATGTCAGTGTCAATGATTCAAAACTTTTTCAATGTTGACAGCCCTGATGTCAATAAATGAGTTTTTTTTGCCATTCACCACTCCCCATTAATGTCAAAGGAATTATGTATTTTTAACTTTTTTTCAATTAATTACAAATGAAAGCCGAGTCAAGAATTGCAACCCTTATATGGCAAGCTAAAAAGTTCAATGTAAAAGTGCTTAACAAGTCACATAAGTTGCAATAATAGTGTTGATTTTTGAATGACTACCTCATCTTTGTACCCCACACATACAATTATCAGGAAGGTCCCGTAAACACAGAATTTCAACCACAAAGACCAGGGAGATTTTCCAATGCCTCACAAAGATGGGCACCTATTGGTAGATGGGTAAAAAAATTTTTTTAAATTAAGCAGACGTTGAGCATGGTGAAGCTATGAATTACACTTTGGATGGTGTATCGATACACCCAGTCACTACAAAGATACAGACATCCTTCCTAACTCAGTTGCCGGAGAGGAAAGTAACCGCTCAGGGATTTCACTGAGGCCAATGTTGACTTTAAAACAGTTAGAGTTTAATGGCTATGATAGGAGAAAACTGAGGATGGATCAACAACATTGTAGTTATTCCACAATACTAACCTAATTGACAGAGTAAAAAGATGGAAGCTTGTACAGAATACAAATATTCCAAAACATGCATCCTGTTTGCAACAAGGCACTAAAGTAATACTGCAAAAAATGTGGCAAAAGCAATTTACTTTTTGTCCTGAATACAAAGTGTTATGTTTGGGCCAAATCCAATCCAACACAATACTGAGTACCATTCTCCATATTTTCAAGCATAGTGGTGGCTACATCATGTTATGTGTATGCTTGTAATTGTTAAGGACTGGGGAGTTTTTCAGGATTAAAAAAAGAAACGGAATGGAGCTAAGCACAGGCAAAATCCTAGAGGAAAACCTGGTTCAGTCTGCTTTCCATCAGACACTTGGAAATTAATTCACCTTTCAACGGCCACATCTACGCTGGAATTGCTTACCAAGAAGAAAATGAATGTGGCTGAGTTACAGTTTTGACTTAAATCTACTTAACAATCTATGCCAAGACCTGAAAATGGTTGTCTAGCAATGATCATCAACTAATTTGAGAGAGCTTGAAGAATTTTGAAAAGAATAATGTGCAAATGTTGCACAATCCAGGTGTGGAAAGCTCTTGTAGACTTACCCAGAAAGACTCACAGCTGTAATCGCTGTCAAAGGTGCTTCTACAAAGTATTGACTCAGGAGTGTGAATACTTAAGTAAATTAGTTATTTCTGTATTTCATTTTCAATAAATTTGCCAAAATTTCTAAAAACATGTTTTCACTTTGTCATTATGGGGTATTGTGTGTAGAATTCATTTTTAATTCAGGCTGTAACACAACAAAATGTGCAATATGTCAAGGGGTATGAATACTTTCTGAAGACACTGTATATTATTATGTAGGTTATAGCTCCACTGTAATGAATAGTGGGGTCTGAATAGTGGGGTCTTATTGACACCCTTGGCCCTGATAAAGATAAGCAATAATGACTGTATAAAATAAAACATTCATTCTGAGCTATATTGTATAGTCAAATAAATAATTAGGAAATTATTATTATATTATTTTATACTAATACAATTTCACAGAGAAAGAGATTTGGTTTAACAAGTAAACTTTTTTTTCTCAAAGGTAGGGGTAAAAATTATTGACACCCCTAAAGATTCTTATTAAATAAGTAGTCAATTTTAGTATTTTGTCCCATATTCCTAGCACATACAAACTTGTTAAATGTATTTGCAGTTCGTTTTGGTTTTGTTTCAGATTATTTTGTGCCCAATATACAGTGAGGGGAAAAAAGTATTTGATCCCCTGCTGATTTTGTACGTTTGCCCACTGACGAAGACATGATCAGTCTATAATTTTAATGGTAGGTTTATTTGAACAGTGAGAGACAGAATAACAACAAAAAAATCCAGAAAAACGCATGTCAAAAATGTTATGAATTGATTTGCATTTTAATGAGGGAAATAAGTATTTGACCCCTCTGCAAAACATGACTTAGTACTTGGTGGCAAAACCCTTGTTGGCAATCAGAGGTCAGACGTTTCATGTAGTTGGCCACCAGGTTTGCACACATCTCAGGAGGGATTTTGTTCCACTCCTCTTTGCAGATCTTCTCCAAGTCATTAAGGTTTCGAGGCTGACGTTTGGCAACTCAAACCTTCAGCTCCCTCCACAGATTTTCTATGGGATTAAGGTCTGGAGACTGGCTAGGCCAATCCAGGACCTTAATGTGCTTCTTCTTGAGCAACTCCTTTGTTGCCTTGGCCGTGTGTTTTGGGTCATTGTCATGCTGGAATACCATTCCACGACCCATTTTAAATGCCCTGGCTGAGGGAAGGAGGTTCTCACCCAAGATTTGACGGTACATGGCCCCCTCCATCGTCCCTTTGATGCGGTGAAGTTGTCCTGTCCCCTTAGCAGAAAAACACCCCCAAAGCATAATGTTTCCACCTCCATGTTTGACGGTGGGAATGTGTTCTTGGGGTCATAGGCAGCATTCCTCCTCCTCCAAACACGGCGAGTAGAGTTGATGGCGTAGAGCTCGATTTTGGTCTCATCTGACCTCAACACTTTCACCCAGTTCTCCTCTGAATCATTCAGATGTTCATTGGCAAACTTCAGATGGGCCTGTATATGTGCTTTCTTGAGCAGGGGGACCTTGTGGGCGCTGCAGGATTTCAGTCCTTCACGGCGTAGTGTGTTACCAATAGTTTTCTTGGTGACTATGGTCCCAGCTGCCTTGAGATCATTGACAAGATCCTCCCGTGTAGTTCTGGGCTGACTCCTCACCGTTCTCATGATCATTGCAACTCCACGAGGTGAGATCTTGCATGGAGCCCCAGGCCGAGGGAGATTGACAGTTCTTTTGTGTTTCTTCCATTTGCGAATAATCGCACCAACTGTTGTCACCTTCTCACCAAGCTGCTTGGCGATGGTCTTGTAGCCCATTCCAGCCTTGTGTAGGTCTACAATCTTGTCCCTGACATCCTTGGAGAGCTCTTTGGTCTTGGCCATGGTGGAGAGTTTGGAATCTGATTGATTGATTGCTTCTGTGGACAGGTGTCTTTTATACAGGTAACAAACTGAGATTAGGAGCACTCCCTTTAAGAGTGTGCTCCTAATCTCAGCTCGTTATCTGTATAAAAGACACCTGGGAGCCAGAAATCTTTCTGATTGAGAGGGGGTCAAATACTTATTTCCCTCATTTAAAATGCAAATCAATTATAACGTTTCTGAAATGCGTTTTTCTGGATTGTTTTGTTGTTATTCTGTCTCTCACTGTTCAAATAAAACTACCATTAAAATTATAGACTGATCATTTCTTTGTCAGTTGGCAAACGTACAAAATCAGCAGGGGATCAAATACTTTTTTCCCTCACTGTAAATGAATGGTAAATAATTTGTCATTTCGAGTGACTTTTTTATTATAAATAAGAATAGAATATGTTTCTAAACACTTCTACATTAGTATGGATCCTACCATGATTACGGATAATCCGGAATGAATCGTGAATTATGATGAGTGAGAAAGTTACAGAGGGTCAATGCATGCTAACCTCCGCTGTTATTGGTAATGATAAAAAAAATACTTGTTCCAAAAAATATTTCTCTAAGCAATTGTATTAGTATAAAATATTTTAAATTCCCAAATTTTTGGGAGCATACAATATAGCTCAGTATTTGAATTATTGATTTTATACAGTCATCATTGCTCATCATTATCAAGGGTGTCAATAATTTCAGACCCCACTGTACGTCTTTTGAATTGCTTTACTGTATGTACTGTGTACTCCTGTTATGTGTTCTACTCCAGGGTGTGGATGAGGGTCCTGACGGACTGAAGCTCATCTCTGATGTGATCCAGGAGAAGCTGGGCATCACCATGAGTGTGTTGATGGGGGCCAACATTGCCAACGAGGTTGCCGATGAGAAGTTCTGTGAGACCACTATCGGTTAGACTCCTGGGGGGGGGGGAAGAGGAACATTTTATTTATGGGAGAAAAATTCACATTGTGATGGGCTTGGGTTATCATTATCTTACATACTTTTGAATGGTGTGCTGTCCTGCGTTTTTTCCCTTTCTGAACATTTGGTTTGGGTAAATGTATACAGTGCAAACTGAAAAGTAAGGCATTCATTTAGACAGTTTTGTCAATGTGTGTGGAGACATAGTTTAACAAGTTAAGTTATTAGAGATTGAGCTGGAGTAGTAAAAGTAAATGGGCCAAACATGTTTTGTGAGGCACAGCCTATGCCAGATTTAATCAAACCGCCAGAAAACGATGTCTCTGCTCAAGGCTACCCAGTCAGCATGGGGTAAAGTGTAAGCAGCATTGTACTGGCTGTTTACATTACAAAGAGTGGGCTGGCTTGTTTAATGGTAGTTCTCCTTTACACTTGTTATTGTATCTAGCCAGAGGTGAAAGTAGAATTCATTTCTTCCCGGGACGGGACCTCCTATACGCGCTTGTGTGTGCACCACCATTTTTTTGGTATGCCATCTATGTAGTGTATTTCAAACATGACATAAGTATATTGAGGGCCATTACTGCAGTTTTTTTTTGCTTGTGACCTTACCATGAAAACCCTGTGCCCTAACCTATAACTAGACCCTGGTAATTAGGCCTTTAATTAGGGCCTGGACCTTGAGTTTCCTCGTTATGTCACATGGTAAGTGCTAGAGTTTCATTACATTTTTGTTAGGATTGAAAAGGGTTAACTATTTCTCTCTCCCATTTTCCCTCTCCCCAGGATGTAAGGATAAAGAACATGGGGCTTTGCTGAAGGAACTCATGCAGACCAGTAACTTCCGGGTCACGGTAGTGGAGGAGTCCGATGTGGTTGAAATCTGTGGAGCACTGAAGGTGAGCACTCAACCATTAAGGCTGTGTTTACACAGGCGGCCCAATTCTGATTATTTTCCCACTAATTGGTCTTTTGGACCAATCAGAACAGCTCTTTTGCCAATAATTGGGAAAATATCAGAATTGGGCTGCCTGTGTTAACGCAGCCTTAGAGATTCTGCCTGGCCTCGCCTTATTTAATGTCTAGTCATATTGTCTCAACGTCTGAATCTCAACACCTTCCTCATTTCCAATTGTATACTTTCTACTTGCCCTTCATCTACTTCTTAGATGAAGGACAGACAAGAGAAAGTGTGCTTGTAAGAAAAAAGACTGTCCTAATGTGTTGAAGCCATTAACCCCTGCCCTCCTCTCTGTGGCTGTCAGAACATTGTGGCGGTGGGGGCGGGCTTCTGTGACGGCCTGGGCTTCGGGGACAACACCAAGGCCGCTGTGATCCGACTGGGGCTGATGGAGATGATCGCCTTTGCACGCATCTTCTGCACCGCCGGGCCCGTCTCCTCTGCAACCTTCCTGGAGAGCTGTGGCGTCGCCGACCTCATCACGACCTGCTACGGCGGCCGCAACCGCAAAGTGGCCGAAGCCTTCGCCAAGACGGGGAAGGTGAGACTAACTTAATTGGCTTTTGGATAAAGACAGGGCGATGTAAAAATGAAAGATGGTTTGAATTATAGCCTTTAGGATTGGAAGGGGGAAAATACAGTAGATGAGAGCTTTAAAGGGATAGGTCGAGATTTTTACTTACCCAGAGTCAGATGACCTCATGGATACCATTTGTATGTCTCTGCGTCCAGTATGAAGGAAGTTGGAGGTAGTTACGTAAGCCAACGCAGAGAAATGGTATCCATTATTTCATCTGATAAAGGGCTTAATTGCCAAAAATATCGCACTATCCCTTTAATTATAAGCTTTGAAAATAAAGGGGGCCAGAGAGTGAATTTCAGTTAAATATATTTTTTGGGGGGGGAGAGTGGCCTTGACTTCAACAGCCATGTTTTTATTCTGCTCAGTCAATTGAAGAGCTGGAGAAAGAGATGCTGAATGGACAGAAGCTCCAGGGACCAGCAACAGCAGCTGAAGTCCATGTCATCCTAAAGAACAAAGATCTGCTTGACAAGTAAGCTGGCACAGAAATCAAACAGCTCTTTCACCCATTACATCTGAAATGGTAAAAAATAATGCAGTTATTCTCAAAGGCCAAAGATAATGACTGTGACAACTCAACAATCCCCCCCCTCTCTCTCGTCCCAGGTTCCCACTGTTCAACGCTGTGTACCAGATCTGCTACCAGGGCCAACCGGTCACAGAGTTCATCAAGTGTTTGCAGAACCACCCAGAGCATATGTAGACTAACAGACTGGCCAAGTGACTGGAGAAGAAGGATCAACACCACTTTCACTTTGTACCGGTTATAAACTAGATGGGGAAAATACGCACAATCACATAGTCCACAGCTCCGATGCAGCAAGCAGACTTCAACGGACGACGTGAAGTAAGGTTAGCTTGCATTGGACTTGTGGTGTATGCTGCAGCTATTCTACTGTGTACAGTCTTTCGGGTTTTGTACGTACCTCCTATGTTTTATAAGTGGTTTTCTACAGGAGTATGATGACCCAGCATGTATTTGTTGCCGCCAAATCAGATGCCACTGTCCGTCCTCAGCTGTTATGTTGGCTCGTCCATTGTGATACCTCACTTCGTTATCGTTTGGCTTATTCATGTTGTGTTTAGGCTTTGTAGCAGATGCTAGGCTATTTGTGTCCTTTTTTCGCTTGTCTTAAGTAATTCTGATTCTCTCTGCATCCTTTTGATGTTTTATGACTTGTATTGTATGGGTTGTTAGGCTAGTTGCTCGATTCAATCCATGTCGCAGAAGTTCAGCTCTATAGCACGATTTTAATTTAAAGGAAAGGTTCCTGCGTTCATGGAGACTGCATATGTCCGCTCAATCGGAAATGACCTTTACATTTTAATCACGCAATAGTGCTGAACTTCTGCGATACGAATTGAATCGAGCCCTAGATTTACAAAGCAACTGTTGTTTGTTTTTTTAAAAAAAGAAAGTACGTGCCTTACAATGCCACATTGCTGAAAAGTCTTGGCTGTTTGTGCTTTGTGAAACCAAATACTTTTTCCCTTATCGTCCTTCCATGAAGCCATTCGTCACCATGATGCTGCCTTTGAATTGCACTAACATGTGGCTTATGTTTGAAAAGGGTGTATTTAAAAAATAAGATTTGCCTTTTTAAATAAATTATTTATTCCAGTGCTGTCAAATGGCTGCCCTTTTCATTTGGCTACTTGTTCAGCTCTAGAGGGCAGTTCTATTTCAGTGATGTCAACTGGAATCTCAGTACTGTAGCTCATGTGGTCAGAATAAATAGTTGCTATTTACATGGACAAGCACACGTCAGAGCGAGGGAACGGAGAATCGAAGCAATATGAAAGCTAAAGACTTTAACAGCCAAGCGAGAGGCACTGAATAAAACGGGTCTACAGTTACTGGCTAGCTCCTGGCTGTGCGGGCTTTTTTCTCCAACCTAGCTGTAACTGTCTTTTTTTTGAATTAAATCTTTATTGTACTTAAGTAGAAGTCATATTTCATAGAAATCTGGAAACAGGACAGCTACTTTAGGTTTCACTTCTACTTTACAAAACCTGATACGAACCACCACAAATCCAGACAATTGTAATACAAAGCTTTTCTTTATTGATTATATATATATATATATATATTAGTGAGGGGAAAAAAGTATTTGATCCCCTGCTGATTTTGTACGTTTGCCCACTGACAAAGACATGATCAGTCTATAATTTTAATGGTAGGTTTATTTGAACAGTGAGAGACAGAATAACAACAACAAAATCCAGAAAAACGCATGTCAAAAATGTTATAAATTGATTTGCATTTTAATGAGGGAAATAAGTATTTGACCCCTCTGCAAAACATGACTTAGTACTTGGTGGCAAAACCCTTGTTGGCAATCACAGAGGTCAGACATTTCTTGTAGTTGGCCAACAGGTTTGCACACATCTCAGGAGGGATTTTGATCCACTCCTCTTTGCAGATCATCTCTAAATCATTAAGGTTTCGAGGCTGACGTTTGGACTCTAACCTTCAGCTCCCTCCACAGATTTTCTATGGGATTAAGGTCTGGAGACTGGCTAGGCCACTCCAGGACCTTAATGTGCTTCTTCTTGAGCCACTCCTTTGTTGCCTTGGTCGTGTGTTTTGGGTCATTGTCATGCTGGAATACCCATCCACTACCCATTTTCAATGCCCTGGCTGAGGGAAGGAGGTTCTCACCCAAGATTTGACGGTACATGGCCCCGTCCATCGTCCCTTTGATGCGGTGAAGTTGTCCTGTCCCCTTAGCAGAAAAACACCCCCAAAGCATAATGTTTCCACTTCCGTGTTTGACGGTGGGGATGGTGTTCTTGGGTCATAGGCAGCATTCCTCCTCCTCCAAACACGGCGAGTTGAGTTGATGCCAAAGAGCTTGATTTTGGTCTCATCTGACCACAACACTTTCACCCAGTTCTCCTCGGAATCATTCAGATGTTCATTGTCAAACTTCAGACGGGCCTGTATATGTGCTTTCTTGAGCAGGGGGACCTTGCAGGCGCTGCAGGATTTCAGTCCTTCACGGCGTAGTGTGTTACCAATTGTTTTCTTGGTGACTATGGTCCCAGCTGCCTTGAGATCATTGACAAGATCATCCTGTGTAGTTCTAGGCTGATTCCTCACCGTTTTCATGATCATTGCAACTCCACGAGGTGAGAACTTGCATGGAGCCCCAGGCCGAGGGAGATTGACAGTTATTTTGTGTTTCTTCCAATTGCGAATAATCGCACCAACTGTTGTCACCTCACCAAGCTGCTTGGCGATGGTCTTGTAGCCCATTCCAGCCTTGTGTAGGTCTACAATCTTGTCCCTGACATCCTTGGAGAGCTCTTTGGTCTTGGCCATGGTGGAGAGTTTGGAATCTGATTGATTGATTGCTTCTGTGGACAGGTGTCTTTTATACAGGTAACAAACTGAGATTAGGAGCACTCCCTTTTAAGAGTGTGCTCCTAATCTCAGCTCGTTATCTGTATAAAAGACACCTGGGAGCCAGAAATCTTTCTGATTGAGAGGGGGTCAAATACTTATTTCCCTCATTAAAATGCAAATCAATTTATAACATTTTTGACATGCGTTTTTCTCAATTTGTTGTTGTTATTCTGTCTCTCACTGTTCAAATAAAACTACCATTTAAAATTATAGACTGATAATGTCTTTGTCAGTGGGCAAACGTACAAAATCAGCAGGGGATCAAATACTTTTTTCCCCTCACTATATCTTTAAAAGGTTTTTATTAGAAGGGATATATACAGTACCAGTCAAGTTTGGACACACCTACTCATTCAAGGGTTTTTCTTTATTTGTACTATAATAGTGAAGACATCAAAACTATGAAATAACACATATGGATTCATGTAGTAACCAAAAAAAAGTGTTAAACAAATCAAAATAGGTTTTAGATTCTTCAAAGTAGCCACCCTTTGCCTTAATGACAGCTTTGCACACTCTTGGCATTCTCTCAACCAGCTTCACTTGGAATGCTTTTCCAACAGTCTTGTAGGAGTTCCCACATATGCGGACCACTTGCTGGTTGCTTTCCCTTCACTCTGCGGTCCAACTCATCCCAAACCATCTCAATTGGGTTGAGGTCGGGTGATTGTGGAAGCCAGGTAATCTGATGCAGCACTCCATCACTCTCCCTGGTCAAATAGCCCTTACACAGCCTGGAGGTGTGTTGGGTCATTGTCCTGTTGAAAAACAAATGATAGTCCCACTAAGTGCAAACCAGATGGGATGGCAGAATGCTGTGGTAGTCATGCTGGTTAAGTGTGTTCTAAATAAATCACTGAAAGTGTCACCAGCAAAGCACCCCAAAACCTCCTCCATGCTTCACGGTGGGTACCACACATGCGGAGATCATCCGTTCACCTACTCTGCGTCTCACAAAGACACGGCAGTTGGAACCAAAAATCTCACATTTGGACTCATCAGACCAAAGGACAGATTTCCACCGGTCTAATGTCCATTGCTCGTGCTTCTTGCCCCAAGCAAGTCTCTTCTTCTTGTTGGTGTCCTTTAGTAGTGGTTTCTTTGCAGAAATTCGACCATGAAGGCCTGATTCACGCAGTCCTCTGAACAGTTGATGTTGAGATGTGTCTGTTACTTGAACTCTGTGAAGCATTTATTTGGGCTGCAATTTCTGAGGCTGGTAACTAATGAACTTATCCTCTGCAGCAGAGGTAACTCTGGGTCTTCGTTTCCTGTGGCGGTCCTCATGAGAGCCAGTTTCATCATAGCGCTTGATGGTTTTTGCGACTGCACTTATTTGAGCTGTTCTTGCCATAATATGGATTTGGTCTTTTACCAAATAGGGCTATCTTCTGTATACCCACCCTACCTTGTCACAACACAACTGATTCGCTCAAACGCATTAAGAAGGAAAGAAATTCCACAAATTAACTTTTAACAAGGCACACCTGTTAATTGAAATGCATTCCAGGTGACTACCTCATGAAGCTGGTTGAGAGAATGCCAAGCGTGTGCAAAGCTGTCATCAAAGCAAAGGGTGGCTACTTTGAAGAATCTAAAATCTATTTTGATTTGTTTAACACTTTTTTGGTTACTACATGAATCCATGTGTTATTTAATAGTTTTGATGTCTTCACTACTATCCTACAACTAAAGAAAAACCCTTGAATGAGTAGGTGTGTCCAAACTTGACTGGTACTGTATATATCCCTTCTAATAAAAACCTTTTAAAGGTTTAATAGGCTACACATGGGTCAAGTATTGCAAGAATGTGACAAGATACTTCTAGAGACCAACCCCTTAAAACAAACACAAAATACCTGTATCAATTGAGACTACACACTGAAGAAATAAGACTGGTTTATTGCAAGTTGTGGAAATATAACATGAATGTTCAGTCTATAGCAATACAGTAAGTCATTATAAAGACGGCATATGTTGACCCTGTGACAGACCTTGCTGTTTCTAAACTCCTCTAAAATGAACATTAACTTTTAAATAGGCCTGAAAATGTAAACAAAAAGGAATGAAACAGAGTGAAAATGTCACAGCTCTTTTCTTGGAATTATGCACACTAAAGTCTTGTTCTAGTACAATGTTGCTCAAAATAGCATAAGCAAAACAAAAAGATTACATTAATAGAAACAAATCTGTTAAAGGGATACTTTGGGATTTTGGCAATGAGGCCCTTTTTTTTTTATTTCCCCAGAGTCAGATGAACTCGTGGATACCATTTGTGTCTGTGTCCAGTATGAAGGAAGTTAGAGGTAGTTGGGCGAGCCAATGCTAACTAGCGTCAGCGCAATGACTGGAAGTCTATGGGTATCTACTAGCATGCTAGTAGATATCCATAGACTTCCAGTCATTCGTGCTAATGCTAGTTAGCATTGTCTCACGAAACTACCTCTAACTTCCTTCATACTGGACACAGACATAAAAATGGTATCCATGAGTTTTGGCCTCATTGCCAAAATACCCCTTTAATACAGGTGGTAATAGCAGAGGGTGGTAGACATTCATTGTAATTCCCACCATCAACAGGTTATCCATGTTTTGTTCTCCGTCTCTATGTAAAAACACACAGGTCTAACTTTTAGTAGCTATGATCACTAATGTCACAGAGCTGTAGAATGTTTTGTCTGAGAGTAGCCTAATTCTGTTTCTCTCCCTTCTGCCTGAAGTGTGTACTCATACACTCCCCCTTTAGGGTGTAGGAAATAGTGGAAACCTGTCCAAGCCCATGCTTACACCCATTCAATGGCATCAGTCCTATTCTCTACCACTCTCCCAGTCCGACTTGTACACTCCCCCTTATGGGATGGACTGGTGTGATGAGTATGTTGGAAACAAGTGCACACTACCACAGCTTTTGAATCCATGCTGAGAAGTAAGAGTGCACACTTCAGGGAGAGAAGGAAGAAACAGAATTGGGCTAGTGTTCGCTCTCTCTTCCCTTGATCCCCAGTGGTTAAGTGCCTCCTCCCTCCCTAGTTACAGTGGCTTGCAAAAGTATTCACCCCCCTTGGCATTTTTCCTATTTTGTTGCCTTACAACTTGGAATTAAAATTGATTTTTTGGGGGGGTTGTATCATTTGATTTACACCCCCCCCCCCCCCCCCCCAAAGTTAATACTTTGTGGAGCCACCTTTTGCAGCAATTACAGCTGCAAGTCTCTTGGGGTATGTCTCTATAAGTTTGGCACATCTAGCCACTGGGATTTCTACCCATTCTTCAAGGCAAAACTGCTCCAGCTCCTTCAAGTTGGATGGGTTCCGCTGGTGTACAGCAATCTTTAAGTCATACCACATATTCTCAATTGGATTGAGGTCTGGGCTTTGACTAGGCCATTCCAAGACATTTAAATGCTTCCCCTTAAACCACTTGAGTGTTGCTTTAGCAGTATGCTTAGGGTCATTGTCCTGCTGGAAGGTGAACCTCCATCCCAGTCTCAAATCTCTGGAAAACTGAAACAGGTTTCCCTCAAGAATTTCCCTGTATTTAGTGCCTCATGAAGCTGGTTGAGAGAATGCCAAGCGTGTGCAAAGCTGTCATCAAGGCAAATTATGTGACTTCTGAAGGTAATTGGTTGCACCAGATCTTATTTAGGGGCTTCATAGCAAAGGGGGTGAATACATATGCATGCACCACTTTTCCGTTATTTATTTTTTAGAATTTTTTGAAACAAGTACTTTTTTTCATTTCACTTCACCAATTTGGACTATTTTGTGTATGTCCATTACATGAAATCCAAATAAAAATCCATTTAAAATTACAGGTTGTAATGCAACAAAATAGGAAAAACGCCAATGGGGATGAATACTTTTGCAAGGCACTTTAAGACCTGATGGATACTAGTGACACCAGGTCATTTGTACAGAGCATTAATGTAGTACCTGAGACCTAGGCTCTGCTCCAATACTTTTAAATAGCTTCCTTTCATATATTTCCTAGTCTCTCTCTTCACTGTTGACCTGACAGGTCTGGAAAGGAAAGAGCAATAGCAGAAACCACCAGACCCAAAGAAGACATTCAAAAGTATTGCAACATGACACTGCTCATTTACCCCACACTTCCCCCTTCCTCTACCCATCCCTGTTCTTCCTCTCCTCCTCCCTCTTGTCATCCTCTCTCACAGTCGGTGGGGGTTGACCCATTTGTATGTTCCTTCATAACGGAAACCGACCCTCTTTGAGAGCTCGTCTGCTTCCATTGGACCCCGGCTAGGAAGAAGGAAAGGAACAAATCCATCACAAAATAACACTATCGCATAATGTGACTATTGACTTGAGATAGTTGTTAAACTGTTAATGGTAAATCTTACCTTCCATATTTGTAGGGTGTGGGGGGAGTCTTCTCGTTCTCTATCTGATGAAGGAGAGGCGTAAAGATCCTCCAGGCTTCCCTCAGCTCATCACTGAGTGAAAAGAGAAGACATAATGCAAGGGAGAGTCCCACACACAGTAATGCAGCCAATGGGGGAAGCAACCCTATGGCACCATCTAGTGGACAGAATTATAATGCATGTGAGGCTTGGGCGATATACCGTGTACCGGGGTATTTCGAAATGCCGATAGTAGATTGAAAGTCTGGATACTGCCCAACACTAATGCATGTTCATGGTCTTATTTGCATAACACCAACATTAAGGCAACGTCTGAGACAGAAAGACTGACCTTCTGACAAAGTGCATCTGGCTGCCACAGAAGACATCTAGGATGAGACGCTCGTAGGCGTCTGGCAACTTCACATCCTGAGGAGAGAAGATTACAGTGAAATTGGAGCAAAAATGTGAGTATGGCGAGGTAGTGTGTATGGGTGTCTGTTTTCTATGAATGATTGGGTGTGTGTTCATTCAGTATCTCACCTTGTATCTGCTCTTGTAGGTGAGGTCCAGCTCCGTCTCCTCGGGGTGGAAGTACACTCCTGGTTTCTTGCTCATCATCTTGGCGTAGACGGCCTCGTTGGGCTGCACGCGCACCACCAGCTCATTCCTACGACACTGCGCTCCAAAGATGTCTCCCGGGACATCGGTGAACTGCAACCGCACCTCCGCTTTCCTCTCGTTCAGGGCTTTGCCGCAACGCAGGATGAAGGGAACACCTTTGGATGAACAAAGAGAGCTATTTAAGCATCCAATGCTACCGTTTTTATCTCAATATCAAATCATTTATGGGTAACAATTAAGTACCTTATTGTGATTTTAATTGAAAACAATGGTCAAAAAGAAAAAAGTGCTTCTTAGAAAATAGCAATTTCTCAAGCAAGAATTTTGCTAGGACTGTCAGAGTGGTTTGAGTTGGGAGGGGAAAACTGAAAATGTGCTGTTATTTGCAGAGAGTTTTGGAACTAATTTACCACATGGTGATGTGACCATGGAAAGGCCAAAACTCACTCCCACCAAAACAGGCTGAAATTTCAGGCTGTCTTTTCAAACAGCTCTTACACTAAAAGGGCATTCTCATAACTTTCACAATTTCACCGTTTTTTTTTTACCTCAGTGTGGAAATATATATAAAACACAGAAAAATCACATTTTTGACAGCACTGGGCCTTTAAGAGTTATCACTGAGGAGTGAGCTGGTTTGACCAGACAGTGAAAGCACAACAAGCAACACCATGTGATGGAGAGAGAAAGCAGAGGTTCGCACCATCCCAGCGCTCATTGTGCACGTAGAGCACAGCTGTGGCGAAGGTGGCCTGGGTGGAGCCTTTGGGGACAGTGGGGTCATCAAGGTAACCCAGCTTGGCGTCCCCCTCTCCCTCTGGGTCGCCCACGTACTGCCCCAACACCACATCTGACATGGTAATGGGGGCGATGCACTTCAGCACCTTCACCTGCAGGGGGAGTAAGTAAGCAGTGATAGGTTTGAACACTAATTGTTTATTCTGTTGGGGGTTTTTAACTAATAAAGATGACATCAGACGTTTTCTGGAGGAGCCAATGGTGAAGTCAAGTAAAGACGTGTTTTGGGCTTTAGCCAGGTTGTGCCCATGTTACTGTACCTTTTCATCCCTGACATCATCAGAGCTGGTGGAGGCCGGCTTCTCCATGGCAACCAGAGAGAGCATCTGGAGCAAGTGGTTCTGCATGACATCACTAAAGACAATACGGAATTGGTGGTGAGAAGTTACAGACAGACTAGTAGAACATAGCAAGAATAAATGCCTTCATTGAGGTATGATTTCATTGAGCACTAAGCCAGTTCCCCTCACCGGATGATGCCAAAGTCGTCAAAGTAGCCGCCTCGGCCCTGGGTGCCGAAGGGTTCTTTGAAGGTGAGGACCACACATGCTATGCTGTCCCTGTTCCAGATGGGCCCAAAGATCCGGTTCCCAAACCTGGAACATTTACCACTGTTAAACTTCCGCCTTATTGACACAGACATAGCTGAGAGACAAATGTCTGTGACAAGGTTTATTCATGTTCTTCTTTCTCATTTTAAGTAATGAGAGAGAGAGAAGACAGAAAAAGAGTGTAGACTGTATTTGTCCTGTACCTGAGGACCATGAGGTTTTAACATCATCTCTGTACCTGAGGACCATGAGGTTTTAACATCATCTCTGTACCTGAGGACCATGAGGTTTTAACATCATCTCTGTACCTAAGGACCATGAGGTTAACATCATCTCTGTACCTGAGGACCATGAGGTTTTAACATCATCTCTGTACCTGAGGACCATGAGGTTTTAACATCATCTCTGTACCTGAGGACCATGAGGTTTTAACATCATCTCTGTACCTAAGGACCATGAGGTTTTAACATCATCTCTGTACCTGAGGACCATGAGGTTTTAACATCATCTCTGTACCTGAGGACCATGAGGTTTTAACATCATCTCTGTACCTGAGGACCATGAGGTTTTAACATCATCTCTGTACCTGAGGACCATAGGTTTTAACATCTCTGTACCTGAGGACCATTAGGTTCTGCACCATCTCCTTGCCCAGGTAGTGGTCTATGCGGTAGATCTGATCCTCAGTGAACAGGGAGGAGAGGTGGGTGGACAGCTCCTCAGAGCTCTGCAGGTCACGACCAAACGGCTTCTCCACAATCACCCTGTTCCAGCCCCTACTAAACACACACAGATAAGCATGGTTTGGTTATTTAACAGCGGAAGAGGGGAACGTTCATCTAATGACCAACCCTCCCCAGACAATACCAATTACATATACAGCAAGTGGATTAAATATGACCAGGCCTGTTCCAGTCCCTACCAATACCAGAGGAGGATTAAGAGGAGAGGGTGTCGGAAACTAAACAGCAAGACAGTCAGAACTACAGTAGCCATAACAGGTTCACTGACTTGGTGCTCATGCAGTGGTGCTTAATGTTCTTGGTGACATTGTGGTAGATGCTGGGCGGCAGGGCAAGGTAGAAGAGGCGGTTAGCCTCGCCCCCACCAGGCAGGGACAACAGGTGGGTGTGGAGGTTGGAGAAGGTACTCTCATCCGCATACTTCCCACTGACATAAGAGTTACGGCTGAAGAACACAGACAACCGCTCCGCCTCAGAGTCTGCCACCTGGGACCACAGAGAGATAGTAATGTTGTCATATGATGTCATTGGTTTTAGCACATGCACAAACACATGCATTAACTGTGAGTCAAATGTGGGTCATTGTGTAATGCTAGATGATGTGTTAATGGGAATGTCTTACCTTCAGATAGGGCATGCAGGCAGTTTTGATGGCATCCACCGTCAAGTCAGAGCGGGCAAAGCCCACAAAGTGAGTCTGTTCAGGAAGTAGCCCATCTCTAAACAACCACCTGTGAGACGGGGGAGAACAATAGAGAAAGGAGTCTCATAATTAGACAAGACTTATTACATGACACCTCAAATAGGAAAAGTGTGTGTGGGGTGGGGACTGCATAAATCCAGTGCAAACAACTGCCCTGTGATATACTAAAAGGGGATCCATATACTCACCATAGAGTCGGGTAGATTTTCTTTTTGGCTAGATCCCCCTAAAGAGAATTATAGGAACATTGTAAACACAAGACCAGATTAGTCACCTCTAAAATGTTAGTTGAAACAAAAAGGCCCACGTGCTATAGTCTATATAGCCTAGTGGCACTACAAGACAGTTCATTCAGGTCTGTCAGTGTGGCGATTACTATTACAGTAAACAAGGCTATAAATAAGGGTTCCTTCCTTGACAACGCTGCTGGTTGCAGTGTTGACAGTTAGTAGTAGGCTGTAGCGGCCTATTTAGGATTTACACAATACCAGTATTCCAACTGGGAGCACTGCTAACTACAGAGAGGAAGCAGCAGCAACAGAGCCGGAAGAAACTGGCAGAGTACTAAGCCAAAGTATATTCTGAGGGCAATAACCCTTAGGAAAGCTGGTATAGACTAAATCAGAGATTAAATATCACAGATAATTATACAAAAAACGATAGAAGTATGACAGAGCTACACTGTTAAACATCTTTACAGGCACAATAACTGAGGAACACAAAAACATCGAACAAAGCATTCCTCACTAGTTTCAGCAGCACTCAGTGATATTATTTGGCGAATGCTGGGTCATCTGATGTTTGTCACTTATAATATAATATGCCATTTAGCAGACGCTTTTATCCAAAGCGACTTACAGTCATGTGTGCATAAATTTTTACATATGGGTGGTCCCTGGGGATCGAACCCACTACCCTGGCGTTACAAGCGCCATGCTCTACCAATTGAGCTACAGAGAACCACACTTGAGGAAATGATTCAAATAATAATTCATTTGAATGGCCTTATTGACTATTGAGCTTATCTGTGTCCTGTTCCAGTGAGTTGTGTTGGTTTGCTCTGTAATACTGAATCATTGCTGAGTGGGCCTTTAATGACTCATTGAGTTACACCTTTAAACTGATGTGCTATGAAATGCTGGCCTACTGTCCCGCCTCAGCTGAGAGAAAAATGCAAATGTAGGGTGACTCGACAAGCACATCTCTCTCTTCATTCTTTCGTTAATGATGAATAGAGGCATGAACACAGATCCCACTATTTTCCCCATCTCTCCCTTTCACAAAAGGAGACTCTCACACACACCATCTCAATAACAACATTTTCAGCCACAGTTTTTATGCAAGTTAAGTCATACCGTATAGAAAAATATCACGACAGCTGTGATGGAAAGAGGAAGTTTCCGTACAATTTTAGAAATGCAGACAGATAATTTTTCTCATTCGACATGGTGGGATCTTTCTTTGTTAATGATGCAAGAAATGGCGGTGGAAACACCTTTATGGGCAAAATATTGATATAATAACTATCATATCGAAGTAAACTTGGAGTCACGTGATGAAACATAAGCCTTATTAGATAGTCATGGAGAGAAAAACTAGGCTGTTCTTTCATGCCTTCAGTGAAGTGAAAATAGAGATTACCTTCAATAATTGTGCCTGTGTCATGTATCAACAGACAAATATTTGGCCTACAATCTTACATTACTGTTAGGCTAAGTACAGTCCCATCCAGCAAGCCTGTATGGTGCCTTGTACCAAGGTAAGCGTGCAATATGTACTAACCCTTCCATTGGCACAGCGACTGTAATGAGGCCAAGTTGAATGAGGTGGTGTGTGTGTGTGTGTGCCTGCCTGCGGTGTGTTTTTGTGTGCGTGCAACACCAGCTGGTGATTGGTTTGTGCTTGTGGAGTGACAAGGACATACTGCAGCGTTGCAAACAAAGCATATTTTACAGTAGCCTATGCATAGCCTATGTTGTAGTACAATCACTTTTCCCAAAAACCACGGCTCTGCCTTACCATTACCCTTCCCCCATCCTGATTCCAGACTTGCCTCTTTATTGCTATGGCAGGAAACTGCTGACAGACAGTGACATTGCACTATTCAGCTCTCGCGCCACTCCTTTCAACCAAAAGTAAATAGAGCAGGAGAAAGTAGATGGAAGAGAAGTGGGCGGAATAATTATATATCAGAGCTATTCTCCCACACTTTATCAACTAACTGGGCAGGTCTTACAAGCCAGTGGAGAACAAGGAAACAGGAAACAAACATTGTAGGCCTAGAGAGGAGGGTGTCATTTCTAGAGAAGAAAATACTATAAGAAAATGCAACTTCAGAGTGACTGGACTGAGTCACTGGATTGATCATCCTAGTAGTGTTCCCTTCTCTGTCCACCTAAAATCTATTATCAAGTGTTCAGTTCATACACCATGATTGGCCAACAAACTGTCCGTGCCCAAATGATTGCCTAACAAACGGTCTGCGCTGACCATTATTGGCTAACAAACAGCCTGTGTCCAAACCATAACCAACAATCAGGAACCTTGATATGTTCTCTATATCAAGACCAGACTACAGAAAGCTCAAGTGATTCTGGGGCTGCTTAGTTACACAAGCTCTGTGTAAGGCCTCTCAATGACATTTCCTCAAACTGGTCATGTGCAACCACTCTCTTCTCTGTTTTAAGTTTACAACATACCTTTCTCACAACATGTGTTCCCTTCTCTGTCCACCTAAAATCTATTATCAAGTGTTTATAAAATAGGTATAACAACTGTATGAAAAATAACAATGATTCTGCAGTTTGGTAGCCTACATTTATAGCTAGGCTAATCCAGTGCCTTCCTCAATAACCAGGTTTCAACCCTACCTTTCTATGCGAGTAAAGTACAAAAATGTCATGACAAGCCTGATGGAAACAGAACATTTTTCGGTAAACTTTCCAAATGTCAACAAAACAAAATACGCTAGACAAGGTGGGATCTTTTTGTGTCGGTAAAATGAATTATGTGAGAAATGTTGGTGGAAACACTTTTATACGCAAACATTGATATAATAACCATCATATCGAAGTAGACTTGGAGTCACGCGATGACATGTTGTGTGGTCCTCCCACTACAGACTCATCGGGAAAGCATGCAGTTTATTAGGCTACTGATGAAATAAGTTATGATGAACTTCGCAGGGTGGTGAAAGTGCAAGTTGATGAGCTTGATACTCCTTTTCAATAAATATTGAGGGTCTTATTCTGATAATCGGTCTAAAACGTGTAGGGTCATTCATCAATAATCAAAGTAGCCTCTCATTCTCCCCCTTCTCCCATCTTCCCTCCCTCACCGATGCTCCCATGATGATGAAGATGTGAGCGTCGGACTGACGGAACTCCTCATCCTCATGAAGCTCCTTCCGCAGCTCCCCGAACACCTCGGACCGAGAGAGGGGAATGGAGCTCATTTGTCCTAGGCAAAGGTAAATGTCAAAAACAAGTTATTATCAAGAACATGATTGATTGACCTAACATTTATGATAACACTTGTAGGAGGAACACGCACACATTCACACAAGAACAATACAGTGTAGTCCCCTGTAGTCTAGTTTAATAGCATAGGCCTACTGAATGAGTGACTTAAAGTAAAAACTATTTTTAGAATATCAACACTATTATGCAAATAGACTAGAGCACTGCTCTGGGCCCTGACTGACACAATGATTCATACCAATGGAGTACAAACAGCCACAACCACTTTTCAAACACAAAACAAGTTAAACACTGCTTTCAAACAATTAACTTTCTAGACATTCAGAGAAACAGCGATGCCTTGGGATAAACAGAGGTGGCAGGCACCAATAAGTGAAAGAGAACAATAGATTGAAACATTCTTAGTTGTACCTCCTTGTGTTCTATGGGCAGTGAGATTGGACATAGGGGAACAGATATTTGGAAAATGTTGATCTACTTTCAGCAATTGTCTTTTTTTTCCTTCAGGAGAACAGTTTTAGCACTAAATGTTTTCTAGACAAATATCACTTTATTTTAAAAGGACACTTAAACACAGCCTAGATAGTCTATAAAACCACCATAAACACAAATCATATGGTAAAGATATGACACCATTTGTTCGGTACTGCATTATACAAATTTGGTAAAGAATAAGCCTACCCTTTCTTCTCATATGGCTGATAAGAAATCATCAAGACATTGTGTGCCACCTTCAAAAACATTATTACTCTTATCTTACCTACACGGAAATGGTGTAGACCTAAGTCCTTGTTTAGCACCTCTTCTAAATCGAGATACATTGCTATATGTCGATATTCTGTCACATTATATGTAAGTGGAATAGACAAAATAAGCCCACTTAGAAATACACCAAATCTACAAGATTCTATAAGCAAGACGAGACAGTTACATCACTATGTCTGTAAGCGACAGTAATCATACCAGGTCCTTGTTGTGCAATGGCACCACTGGCAGGTCTCTCTTGGGTCAGGGAGAGAGGGGACCCACAACAAGAGCAGGGAGAGAGATAAACGGTCAATGTAATATTAGCTAGCTAGCTACAATTGACAGACTGTGCACTTGCACCTCCCTCAGAAAAGCATTCTCCACTTTGTAGACACAAATAGTCACAACACACCATCCACTATAATGTTATTAGCAAAATCCTCAGCCCAATCCCGTATTTAAAGGGCTCAACATATCTAGCCGTGCTGTGACCACGAATAATACGGGGCACGTTTGGCTAGCCAAGCTAGCTAACTTAGACGAATTTGCACCTGTACAAGGTAAGTTAGCTAGCTAGCAAACTATTCATGCTCTATACAAATTATTTGGGCCTAGGTTACCCACCAAAATAACTAGCTAACTATAAATGACACAAGTTTCTTTAATATCAAACACCACACAGACACTACCATTACCTAAAACATCCCATCATATTCGTTGCTGTTTTGACAAAATGACAAGCATGCAGCCAGCAAACATGTTCGTGGTTAGTAGGCAGACGAATACTTTTAAAAAACAACACTTACTTCCAGCCATTTCCAATTATTAACTTTAGCTGAGAATGCGGCGATTACGGAGCAAACCTCGACCGATACTTCTCTAAATTGACAAGCATCAAACTACTTGCAGTGCATCTCTACTAGCGCAGTTTCCTTCTTCCCTGTTAAAATTGACACAACTGAATTCAGTGATTTTATTGGTTTAGAGAGAAACTCACCAGCGCTCGCTGCACTTCCCATTCCTGTTGGTTACGATGACGTCACATTCCCAAAGACAAAAAAAAGATGGATGGGGCGGATTTTTACTGTGCACTCTTCAGAGAAAAATACACCAATCAAAGTGAAGAACTAGCCCACTGACATGTAAGTGGATCAGTAGTAGTAGGCTACTAGAGGTCAATACAGTCTGGGATTATCAATACAGTGATGTATTAAACCCCATGAACGAACATGGAAGAGATTCCAAACAGCAAACACTGCATATTCTAAGTACTAAAAGTAAACAGTTCATCATCTGGTATGGAATATGTCCTTAGTCCATTATCGGAAAATACTTTCTTTCAGAGGGGAAGATTTGAACGACGTATATGGTTATGCTTGATTTCATCCTTCATGATATTGTAGAGAACGGCGGTGCAGGGAAGCGAACCCGGGTCGCTGGTGTGAAAAAGGCAAGCACCCTTTTCATCTCGTAAATAAGGTTAACCCACATGGTGGGAATTGTAACCTGGCTCATATAGCTACACTGCCCCCCTCCAAATGGAAAGGCACGTCCCAATGCTTCCGCCTACCGCAGCCCCATCACGTTCGGCCGTTTGTTCCGATGGCCTCGCAGCCGCCATCCCACTCCTGACACAAATGTAGCAAACATATAGCTCATATAGCGAGGGTAGCTACAAAATATACAGTACACAAAAAACCTGAAGCAAAACAAATGTTGTTTGGGCTGGTGAACAGTAAAGAATCTCACAAATTCAAATATGTATTTTGAAGTGTATAAAACACTAGTGCCAAAACAGAAACTATCACAAATTCCTCTAATTGGGATCCTCTACAAAAGATCTTAAAAAACCTCAAACTTTTCAACTTCTCCTTTTAATAAATAAATAATACAAAACATGAATTCAAACTGGGCAGTGTGCCATATTTCATAAATTCATGTGTTGTAATCAAAAAGTGTAGGACTCCCAAATGTAATGCATGATGGAGATGATCCACCTTCCTCCATGGATCCCATTGCTCAGCTGAGGGCCCAGTGCTGGCTGAGATTGGCCGAGTCACAGCTACTCATCACCACTTTACCTCCGACTACTGTCAAACATTTGCCGAAGAGGGATTCTTCAGGAAAGAACCCTATACACACACACATACAACATAATTAAAACAATGATGAGCAGCATAAAAGGCTAATGTGCGCTGCAAGTGACCACAATGCTCTGTTCTGCACTTGCCTCCTGAAAACAGTGCAGCATTAATATAGCCAAGCTGTGTGTAACAGCATGTGTTTACTGTAAAGTAGTTAATGGTCTTGTGCTGCAATACAAGGCAACAATCAGTGTTTTGTCCTTTTGTCCTGGAGAGGAGAAAATGACTTCCAAATGGTCTTCACATACTGGATATGGAACAAACCCATGTACAAGAACCACAGGAAGACTTCCAGAGCAGTGAAGAAGATATGTTTTTATTTTCATTGTGTAAATGTGAAACAAACTAAACAATAGAATATATGTTGACAGTTTAGATTGTCATGGTTACGTATCGGTGTGAAATGCCACACTTGCTCAGGGTCCACCGCGTTCCTAAGCCCTTCAGGCAGCAGAACTCAGTGGACACCAGCGCTGCCCCAGGGGTCGCATGCAGACACAGATGCTTACCGATGTCGTGCCGAAGTTCTTGGTGGGATGTTTACTCGAAATACTACACACAGAAATGTTATGTTAGGAAAAAAACTGTTTGGCAATTATATGGAACCTGCACATTGTACATGATTTAGACTAAAGTACCTGGTTTCCTCCCATGTTGTGGCATGTGTACAAGATAACTGTTTTTTTCCACCCTTATTATTTTCTCCCACATCCAGGCAAGTCTTAGAGCCAGAGTTCTTGAGCTGATAAAATAGAATTTTAGCAGAATATAGATTTAAAAAGTAGATGAGTAATTATAAACTGACAATCCAATTTCCAATGAAAGTGAAATAAACTGAACATAAGCCTCTGGGTAAACATTGTGCAAGTATCATGTGATGTTTTTGCAGCTTAGCTTCTCTTTGAGTATGAGGCTTTCTGAGATGTCACCATATGTGTTCTGAGTGAACAGGAAGAAGAAAAATAAAACAAAGATCGCCGTGTCATTTTTTATATATATATTCTGTATTGTTTTATTGTTACATACACCAGATAGGTGCAGTGAAATGTGTTGTTTCTTACAGTGCAAATAGTGCAAATTAGGGTTAAAGGGCAACTCCACCACTTTTCGACCTCATTTTCATTATCTCTAGCACAATACCAGTGTCAACATACAGTGGGGAAAAAAAAAGTATTTAGTCAGCCACCAATTGTGCAAGTTCTCCCACTTAAAAAGATGTGAGAGGCCTGTAATTTTCATCATAGGTACACGTCAACTATGACAGACAAAATGAGAAAATAAAATCCAGAAAATCACATTGTAGGATTTTTTATGAATTTATTTGCAAATTATGGTGGAAAATAAGTATTTGGTCAATAACAAAAGTTTCTCAATACTTTGTTATATACCCTTTGTTGGCAATGACACAGGTCAAACGTTTTCTGTAAGTCTTCACAAGGTTTTCACACACTGTTGCTGGTGTTTTGGCCCATTCCTCCATGCAGATCTCCTCTAGAGCAGTGATGTTTGGGGCTGTCGCTGGGCAACACAGACTTTCAACTCCCTCCAAAGATTTTCTATGGGGTTGAGATCTGGAGACTGGCTAGGCCACTCCAGGACCTTGAAATGCTTCTTACGAAGCCACTCCTTCGTTGCCCGGGCGGTGTGTTTGGGATCATTGTCATGCTGAAAGACCCAGCCACGTTTCATCTTCAATGCCCTTGCTGATGGAAGGAGGTTTTCACTCAAAATCTCACGATACATGGCCCCATTCATTCTTTCCTTTACACGGATCAGTCGTCCTGGTCCCTTTGCAGAAAAACAGCCCCAAAGCATGATGTTTCCACCCACATGCTTCACAGTAGATATGGTGTTCTTTGGATGCAACTCAGCATTGTGCAAACTTTGTCCTCCAAACACGACAAGTTGAGTTTTTACCAAAAAGTTATATTTTGGTTTCATCTGACCATATGACATTCTCCCAATCCTCTTCTGGATCATCCAAATGCACTCTAGCAAACTTCAGACGGGCCTGGACATGTACTGGCTTAAGCAGGGGACACGTCTGGCACTGCAGGATTTGAGTCCCTGGCGGCGTAGTGTGTTACTGATGGTAGGCTTTGTTACTTTGGTCCCAGCTCTCTGCAGGTCATTCACTAGGTCCCCCTGTGTGGTTCTGGGATTTTTGCTCACCGTTCTTGTGATCATTTTGACCCCACGGGGTGAGATCTTGCGTGGAGCCCCAGATCGAGGGAGATTATCAGTGGTCTTGTATGTCTTCCATTTCCTAATAATTGCTCCCACAGTTGATTTCTTCAAACCAAGCTGCTTACCTATTGCAGATTCAGTCTTCCCAGCCTGATGCAGGTCTACAATTTTGTTTCTGGTGTCCTTTGACAGCTCTTTGGTCTTGGCCATAGTGGAGTTTGGAGTGTGACTGTTTAAGGTTGTGGACAGGTGTCTTTTATACTGATAACAAGTTCAAACAGGTGCCATTAATACAGGTAACGAGTGGAGGACAGAGGAGCCTCTTAAAGAAGAAGTTACAGGTCTGTGAGAGCCAGAAATCTTGCTTGTTTGTAGGTGACCAAATACTTATTTTCCACCATAATTTGCAAATAAATTCATAAAAAATCCTACAATGTGATTTTCTGGATTTTTTTTCCTCAATTTGTCTGTCATAGTTGACGTGTCCCTATGATGAAAATTACAGGCCTCTCTCATCTTTTTAAGTGGGAGAACTTGCACAATTGTTGGCTGACTAAATACTTTTTCCCCCCCACTGTATGTGAAAACAGCGCATTTCTAGAAAACAATATAATGTGAAAAAGTTCTACCCGATGACATCATCAAAAGTTAACAGTGATTTTCAAAACAGTGATTTTCAAACACCATGAGATTCGGGGTGAGCAAGAAAATACCCTCCCTTGGACTAGAAACCCGTTGCAGGTTTTGAAAATAGCTTTTTTACATTAAAGCCTACCCTGTGATGTCACAGATAAGCATTTTTTAAAGACCTTTCTTCTTATCTTTTTATCCACAGATCATAGAAACTTTTCACATAAGTAGACACTGGTTTGGTGCTGAAGACAAGGTTGTAAAGTGGCAGAATTGCCCTTTAAGTGCCTTGCTCAAGGACACAGCGACAGATTTTTCACCTTGATGGCTCAGGTATTCAAACCAGAAGGATTACTTTATCCTATCCCAGGTGTTCCTTAAAGAGGTGGGGTTTCAAATGTCGTTTTCCTATGGGGACAGCCAAATAACCCTTTTAGGTTCTAGAAAGCACCTTTTTTTCTAAGAGTGCAGGATACAGTGCAATACCACACTTTAATCAGCTGAGCAATATGTGCAACAGTGTGAGAAAATAACCTAGTTTTATTAGTCGTCTTTACAGGACACACATGGTATATACTGTCCAACAAACTGCTTACTTGCAGGTTCCTTCTCGACAACGCAACAACAATAAGAAATAATAAAAGACACGAATACGAACATAAAGTAAATGGCTGAGTAGAATAGAATAGACATTTTAGCATAAGTATAATACCTAGCTCAGTTGATAGAGCACGGTGCTTGTAAGGCCAAGGTAGTGGGTTGGATTCCTGGGACCACCCATACGTAAAATATATCCACGCATTACTATAAGTTGCTTTGGATAAAAGTGTCTGCTAAATGGCATACAGGTAGGCACAATTTATATTATAATATTTACACATGTATTGGGATTGGGGGGCAAGTGTTTCAATTGTGCAGGATTAGCAATAATAAATAAGAGTCTGGTAGCAGCAATTGTGATGTGTGTGTAGCATGAATGTTTATGCGTGTGAGTGAGTGCAATGGTGTGGAGAATCAGTACAGGTGGTCAGTCCAGTTTGTGTTCAGCAGTCTGATGGCTTGTAGATAGAAACTGTCTCTGAGCCTGACGGTAAAGGAGTGAACAGTTTATGGCTGGGGTGTGTGGGTTTTTTGATGATGCTGCGGGACTTCCTCAGGCACTGTTTCAAGTAGATGTCCTGGATGGGTGGGAATTTCTTCAGCCGGCTTAGGAATTTGAGGTGGTGTTGAGTGGTGGTGGTGTTGTTGGTCCATGTCAAGTCATCGGTGTTGTGGACACCGAGGAATTTAAAACTGCTGACTTTCTCTACTGCAGTCCCATTGACGTGGATCGGGCATGTTCCCTCCTCTGCTTCCTGAAGTCAACAATCAACTCCTTTGTTTTGCTGACATTGAGGGTATAGGTTGTTGTCCTGGCACCCCAATGCCAGTTCACAACCTCCCAATTCCCATTCCAATTCCCATTCTAATTCCAGTTCCCAACCTCTTTGGCTATGGTGGCAGTCCTCTTGTTCCTGCGGAAGAAGATCTGCTTGTAGTCGTCCTTCCAGACCTCGGCTAGGTGCACCTGGTTGTGGGCGATCACCGATGTGCCTTTGGGGAAGGTGTGAGGGCTCTTACTGCAGAAGATATGGCCCACCACTGAGCAGGGGACGATCTCCAGCTGGCCTCCCAACTGCCTCACCTACAAGAAGACACATCACACAGGACATTCCAGGTCTCTGGAGTGGACGCAGAAAAGGCCAAGGACTGAATGGTTGAGGCACAAGCTTGGAGCAACAGTGACACGGAATAAAAGTATCCTAGGGAACACAGGAAGTAACCATGAAGGGAATCAGACTACAGAAGGAAGCAGTGTCTGCTTTGACCAGCAGAGGGCATCAAGTCTACATTAACTACCAAAATCAGTCAGGGTTTGTTTGTCTTGCGAGCATTGAGAGGCCAGAGATAGCCAGACTTGTAAACTGAGCTAAGGAACAGAAGTTAGGTTCTGGAGAAACGCCATCAGTGCGTGTTCTGCAAAGAATACAGCAGATGAAGGCGCGGCAAGAGCGTGGTAAACGGATAGACGTGGTTACGGACAGCGAGGAAGGAGGAGATAAGCCGTGTGTAGAGGGAAGATGTGTGTTGAGGAAGAATGGCGCCAAGTACAAACCATATTCTGCTGTCTCTGATGGCACAGAAATTTAACCTGATGAGAACAAGGATGAATGACCTGCGGTGGCAGGTGTGGTGAAGACATCTGAGTCTGAGCCTCGCCCCGATGTTCATGCAAAGGATGAATCTGGCTCAGTGGGAGTGACATTTTTGGAAAAAGTGGATCCCTGCCATATGGGCTGGCCCATATCATTCTGGGTATAAAATAATTGTTAAATCGGTGAAGGTAGCTCGAAGTGGACTTATGATGATTTTCTATATTTCCTCTGCCCAGAGGGAGCTAGCACTCTGCATCACGTGACTCGGGACAAGACCTGTGACTTGCTTTGCTCTCGTTAAGTGTTGAGGTGGAGCAACTGAAATTGAAGATTCCCTGTGTCTGTGACACCCGCCGTATGGTGCGAGCCAGACCGGATGGCGAGCGTGGTGAAACTGAGAAGACACTGTCTATCCTTTTGAGTTTTGAAGCAGAGTCACCTACTAAGGTGTTTCAGATGTTAAGCTTGAGGTCATGTTGCAGCAGTGTGTAGGAGGGAGATTTGGAAATGTAAGAAGTGTGTAGGAGGGCATGGGACAAAGGAATGTGTAGTATCGGTGGAAAAACTATGTGTCAATTGTGGGAGTGCCCATGTTGCTGGGATCAGAAGTGTCCAGTGTGAGAGAGACAGGTTGAGGTTGCCAGGGTCAGAGTAGAACAGCAGGTGTCGTATGCTGAGGCAGTGAAGAGAGTAAAGGATGATTGGTCAAGGGTGAGTAGTAGGCCTAGGCCAATACACAGTGATACGAATTTGTGCTTCAGTAAGGTTGGCTTCTTAGCATTCATTGCCATGGTTATCAACTGTACCACATAAATGGAATGTAAATCACAGAAAATAGATGTTGTGGTGGCAGCTGCAGAGAAGTACTTGGGTGTACGAGACTTTACTGCAGAAGAGTTACAAGGTGTATTGATCGAAAGAGTCCTGTCCTCCCAGGCCATTGTACTGGTGTAGGATCAGTTAGGGTCAAGTAGTGGAATGGGGTGGTGTTATTTTTATTGATTTTATTTTTATGGGATAGTGGTATATAGGTGTAGGCAATGTTCCCTTTAATATTTTTCAGCACTGAGCAAATTTCATGTCTGCTGAGCGCAAACTTGAATGTTGTGAAAATTCTGTGCAACTTCCAGCGCGCGTTTACTGTGAATACTGAGGCTGTACCAGCTTTAAGTTAAGGTTTTAACAGTGGCCAATTAGGCTACTGTGGCTAAAGGGGGGACTAACTCCATATTAATGCCCATGATTTTGGAATGAGATGTTCCACAAGCAGGTGTCCACAGACGTTTCAATTTCACAATAACAGCACTTACAGTTGACCGGGGCAGCTCTAGCAGGGCATAAATTTGACGAACTGACTTGTTGGAAAGGTGGCATCCTATGACGGTGCCACGTTGAAAGTCCCTGAGCTCTTCAGTAAGGCCATTCTACTGCCAATGTTTGTCTATGGAGATTGCATGTCGGTGTGCTCGATTTTAAACACCTGTAAGCAACGGGTGTGGCTGAAATAGCCGAATCCACTCATTTGAAGGGGTGTCCACATACTTTTGTATATGTAGTGTATCTATTCTACTGAGAGCACTGCTACTGAGAGTTATTATAAACTCTGCCGTTGTTCTATAAATGTCACTGTGGAGAGGTCACTTTCCACAATGAAATGTCACTTTCAGTCAGGCTTATAACACCTTCCATACCACATTCACTATCTGTGCTAGCATCATCCACCAGTAGTATCTCTGTGAGCAGGGAGGCAGGAGCAGTGTGCAGGATGCTGTAAACGGTTGATGACACTGAAACGATAATGACACTGGTGGTGGGGAGAGGAGGGCAGCTTCGGAACCTTTGACCCACACAGCTGACGACAACAAAGACAACAAGTGATATTCTACATAAGCTTCAATTGTACACATATCATCCATATAATATTTATATGGTCACACATTTCAATACACAGTGACCACGCCAAACTAGCTTCCCTTCAGTCCCCTGTACTCACTCTGAGAGGCGCGCGTTATTGCCCAGGCTGCGGTGCAGGGAGATACGGTTCTCTTTCATCTCTGTAGGGGTCATCCTTCCCGACACAAAGTGTTGACCGTAGGCCCCGGGCCCTCTCCAGGTGAGGTTGAAGCTCCTGTCTGCTGTAGAACCCAGGTAGACAGCGGCGGTCAGGGGGGTTAGGCTCTGTGGGAGGGGGCAGGGGGCTACCGATCTGGAAGCCAACGTTTGACGCGGCACCTCTGACCACACCCATCACCTGTGACTGTTTGTCAGACAGATCCCGGAGCCAGGGTTCAGGGAAAGTCCCACCTCCTACGTCGTACTGCATGAGCCCACTTGAATGGCAAGCTAAAGGGAAGGGCGGTGATGGCAGGAAAATGCACGCATTGTGCAGGCGTGCCGGAGAGAGACTGCAGGGCTGAAACAGGAGAGTGATCAAGATATGAGTCAAGTGATGACTCAATTGCATTTGACTGTGCAGAGAAGTCCATTTGTCACACCATTCCAAATACAACACTCCCCAACTAACTAACTAAATCAATCAAATCAAATCAATTTTTATTTGCCACATGCGCCGAATACAACAGGTGTAGACATTACAGTGAAATGTTTACTTACAAGCCCTTAACCAACAATGCAGTTTTAAGAAAAAAAGTGTTAAGTGAAAAATAGATAAGTAAAAAATAAATAAAATAACTGTAGGGAGATTATATACAGGGGGTACCAGTACAGAGTCAATGTGCGGGGGAACTGGTTAGTCGAGGTAATTGAGGTAATATGTACATACTATGTACATACTATTGTTAATTGAGAATAACATAATAATGCATAGTTTACAGTGGCTGCTATCTGTCAGAGTAATCCGATCTACATTCTACAACACCCAAACGAAGCAGGGAATCATGGGACACACCTCTGAGAAGCTTCATTGTGTGATATGTAAATGCAGAATGCCTGATAAAAGCTTTGTCCTCTAGGAACAACATACAAGGCTGTCGTATACTCCCTGGTAGTACTTCCATTTACACTTTTGTGTGTATAATGGCTTTCTAAGTGTTCATGTGAGGTAGAATGATAGTTGTGGGTAGAATAAAAGGAGACGTTAAACTGGCTAATCTTGAATTGATCAAACAATAAAAAGAGCCTCCGAAACACTAACCTTAAGACTTCCTTATGCTGAATTGGAGTCTGGAGCCATCTCACTCATATCTCTACGTACAGTGAGGGAAAAAAGTATTTGATCCCCTGCTGATTTTGTACGTTTGCCCACTGACAAAGAAATGATCAGTCTATAATTTTAATGGTAGGTTTATTTGAACAGTGAGATACAGAATAACAACAAAACAATCCAGAAAAACGCATGTCAAAAATGTTATAAATTGATTTGCATTTTAATGAGGGAAATAAGTATTTGACCCCCTCTTAATCAGAAAGATTTCTGGCTCCCAGGTGTCTTTTATACAGGTAACAAACTGAGATTAGGAGCACACTCTTAAAGGGAGTGCTCCTAATCTCAGCTTGTTACCTGAATAAAAGACACCTGTCCACAGAAGCAATCAATCAATCAGATTCCAAACTCTCCACCATGGCCAAGACCAAAGAGCTCTCCAAGGATGTCAGGGACAAGATTGTAGACCTACACAAGGCTGGAATGGGCTACAAGACCATCGCCAAGCAGCTTGGTGAGAAGGTGACAACAGTTGGTACAATTATTCGCAAATGGAAGAAACACAAAATAACAGTCAATCTCCCTCGGCCTGGGGCTCCATGCAAGATCTCAACTCGTGGAGTTGCATTGATCATGAGAACGGTGAGGAATCAGCCCAGAACTACACGAGAGGATCTTGTCAATGATCTCAAGGCAGCTGGGACCATAGTAATCAAGAAAACAATTGGTAACACACTATGCCGTGAAGGACTGAAATCCTGCAGCGCCCGCAAGGTCCCCCTGCTCAAGAAAGCAAATATACAGGCCCGTCTGAAGTTTGCCAATGAACATCTGAATGATTCAGAGGAGAACTGGGTGAAAGTGTTGTGATCAAATGAGACCAAAATCGTGAGAACCTCCTTCCCTCAGCCAGGGCATTGAAAATGGGTCGTGGATGGGTATTCCAGCATGACAATGACCCAAAACACACGGCCAAGGCAACAAAGGAGTGGCTCAAAAAGAGGCACATTAAGGTCCTGGAGTGGCCTAGCCAGTCTCCAGACCTTAATCCCATAGAAATCTGTGGCGGGAGCTGAAGGTTTGAGTTGCCAAACGTCAGCCTCGAAACCTTAATGACTTGGTGAAGATCTGCAAAGAGGAGTGGGACAAAATCCCTCCTGAGATGTGTGCAAACCTGAAGGCCAACTACAAGAAACGTCTGACCTCTGTGATTGCCAGCAAGGGTTTTGTCACCAAGTACTAAGTCATGTTTTGCAGAGGGGTCAAATACTTATTTCCCTCATTCAAATGCAAATCAATTTATAACATTTTTGACATGCGTTTTTCTGGATTTTGTTGTTGTTATTCTGTCTCTCACTGTTCAAATAAACCTACCATTAAAATTATAGACTGATCATGTCTTTGTCAGTGGGCAAACGTACAAAATCAGCAGGGGATCAAATACTTTTTTCCCTCACTGTAACAGAGGATTAGGCTACGACTTCGTGTCTCAGCACACAAGTTCCTCATTAATTTATTATAAATAGCTGTAACAAATATGTTTACTGTAAGAAAAACAGGTAAAGGAAACTCATGCATGCCAGTCATAATGTTGCTCAGAGTCTGAAGACACTCTCTCTGATTTCTTTACAGACATAAAGTCAGTGTGTCTAATAGCATTATTGTAGGAAAAGAGACCCAAATGTCCCACTATACACCAAGTTTGTATTGGAAACATTTTTGTGGTCTAATTATTGTGTGCCTTCTCTAATAATCATCATCATTCACTCTGCTTCATGAACTTCTCACTATATCATCGTTCTTAATATGCCTGCTGTTCTATCTTCCCTGCTCACCTTTTGTCTCAATCAATGAGAGAAGACCTGACATAGGCTGCGTGCACATTGTTTGATTTATTTTAATAATGGAGCAAGAAGAGCATCTGTCAAAATGCATTTATATCTGGACGTTTTGTAACGTCCCAACCTTTTGAACAGACCCCTGCTTCTTCGCTCAGGCTCCACGGAAAAGTCTAAATGTGATCCTTGGGACGGTAAAGGTAAGGGTTATGTAAGGGTAGGGGTTCGTTAGGGTTTAGGGGGATAGGGACGTCCCAAGGATTCAAAATAGCACTAACCCCGGCTCCACCGACTGATAGCTGGAAGTCCAGCTGATGATGGGTGGCACTTGTTACCATGGTTGCGTGTAAAACAGAAGATGTTGTGATTTATTTACAGAGCGCTTGCTTGCCTTGCCCACGTTTTTATGCTATCCTCCACAGCTTCGGGCTGTTGCTGGCGACGGTACTTGATGGCTTTCTTCGGGATAACAAATTTGGGCTATCAAAATCCCATCGGAGACAAGATGCTAGTGAATCCACGAGCGTCTGCTTCCCACGGCGGTGAGTGACGAGTGCTGTGCCAATCTACGTTAGCTAGCTAGCTAAAAGCCTTTGGCTGGGCAATTCCATAGTAACGGAATTACGCTGAGACTCAGAATTTTCACTTTAAAATGTAGCTATACCAAACAAAAAACATTGATTTCAAAGTTTAACAAACAATAATAGAACTATATGCACAATGACTACTTTTAACCATTTGCACAGACATTTTTAAACAAAAAAAACATTGATTTCAAAGTTTAACAAACAATAGAACTTAATGCAAAAGGACTAGTACTTTTAACAATTTCCAGACATTTTTACAAAAACACATTTACAGGAAGAACTGTGCAGATAGAAAGTTAGTAACAGAATAAAACTGAGGTAGATTGTTACCGTAATTCTACCGTAATTCTGTTACCAAATTTAAAACAAGCAAAATCATTCCACATTTGTCAATCTGTAAATTGTGATAAGCTTTTTTTCATAACTGTTTTAGCTAAGCTGTGCTGACATGGATAATAATTTGAAGGTAAAAGCACGCCAGACTCCCTGGCCTTTACAGATGATGAGGTTGATTTAAGGAGCTGGGCTAAACAGTCAAGACTGCCCCCAATCCAAGTCCAGAGGGGACCCCCTAAATGCACCGATACCTGCAGCATCTACAACCAGCCACCTCCCTTCAGCCCAGACATACACCAAGGGAGCCAGGAGCGATACAGAGAGATGCTCAAACGGGTCCAGACACCCAGATGTAAGTTTATGTGACTTATATTTGCATTAATTGAAAACACATCATCCCTAGGATCAGTATTTACTGACATGGGATCTCTCTTCCCTAGCCCCGAACCAGCTGTACTCAGTGCCCCTGACAGACAGCCAGCAGTGTGGATGGTGGATGCCCAATGGAGGCCAAGGAAATATGCAGGAACCCTGGACCCAAGTGAGACGATTCCCCCGCAAGAACAGTGAGATGACCAAGTGAGTGTCAAGTCTGATTTGAGCTTTACAATTTGTTTCTTGAAGTCAGATGTGTCAGTGGCCTGCTCTCACTCTGCCTACTGTTTTTCCTCAGGTTTGTGAAAGAGATGTCAATGACGGACCGAGAGTTTAGCTTATTCTGATTTCCTATCCTGCAGTAAGACACGCATGCGCACGATCCCAAGACCCTTGGGACCTTTGAACCGTAAGGACTATTGTGGTTTAATAAACAGCCACTTTCAACATAGCATGTTATTTTTGTGAGCTACTGTATCATGTTGTCAATTGACGTCTGCTTTTCAACTGGTAAAATTGAGCTGTTACCTACCTCCAGAGGAAAAACATTTTAGTACCCACAAGGAAATAATAGAGTATTTTGTTTCAGTAATTAGTAGACCGTAGATCATTCAGGAGACCTTGGGTATAGTAACTGAATATCTGGGATCAGGTATATTGTTACTGAATAGTGTCTAGCTGCCAAATATTTGATAGTGTGGTTGTATTTTTGGTAAAGCTTGTATTTTGCATAATTTCAATACATTAACTAAATCAATAAAATTATAACTAAACGTTTCCCTCGTGTTATCTTTAAAACTTTTATCTAAATCAGCTAACATTACAGTATCATTATTAGAACATATGAGGTCAAAGGAATATCCAGATCTTTTTTTTATTTTAATGGAACATTATTAGGCACAAGTAATGTTTTACTTTCTATCTTCAGACATTCATTATCTTTACCCCATCCTAACTCCTCCCTCATCTAGTAGGCTCCTTCCCTGTTCTCTCGTATGCAGTGTGCTTTAACTTGCTAGTCCCTTTTCCGATATGCACGTGTAAATGTAATGATCTGGGAGAGAGCCACTCTACCTGAGCAGTGATGCTGTTTCCAATTACAGGGTCATTGAGCGAGTCAGTCAGCACACACACCCATCTCAATGGTGGCCTTTAAAAATTCAGAGGATGTGGCTGTAGCTACCAAGTTTCTGTATGTTTAGCACTGTTAACTCCTTCATGCTAGTGCATGGAGGGACAAAGCTATCAATCCTCTCATGTATGAACGTTTGTGGGTATCTGGGGCTGCTTGCTCTCAACATCATCTAAGACTTTCATTGGTCAACATCTGCTCAATGATAATCAGCTAATGGTAATCCCAGTTTTTACAACAGTTAAAGAAAGCTGCACTTATACCACATAAAACTAATGAAAAACAGCCATTGATTTTAGATTTTTTTATTCAAGGGGAAGTGTTATTTTTCTCTTTGTCATAGTTCTCAACTCTTCTTGTCCTTCAACTCAGGGGTAGAAAACAAACTAACAAAAAGAAAGGGTTCATTAGGTCTGAAAAAAACACTGTTTCAGCAGTACTGGGACGACCCTCTTCCTCCCGTCCCCTAAAAACATCCCAAGAGTCAACAATCAACCCCCACCCAACCCAAATACAGGACAGCCCATAGAAATAGAATGGACACAATGTGCATCATCTTACTTACCACGTCCATTCTATGTATTCTATTTCTATGTGAATCACTCTCAATTGGTCACAACCTCTGTCATTTATCGACCCCATGACCTTTACTGTTGCCTGGCGGTCCCACATGCTCAAGGCCAAATATCACTGCACGGGGAGGGACCAATAGCATGAGGCTGCATGAGCTTGATTTGGTACGAACATGATCAACTGTTACTGTAGTTGCCATAGTTAAGTGTGCTAGAGAGAGGAACGATGACTGGGGTGTTTTGAGGATGTTATGTTATGTTATGTTATGTTATGTTATGAACAAAATGAAGTCAGTGTTGTGTCAATGCTAAGGTTATCTCTCTACCCTTCCCTCTTCACATTATCTCTCTACCCTTCCCTCTCTTTCTCTCCCTCACTCTCTATGTATAGCATACTATGAAACTCAGACGTGGCAATCAGGCACAGTTCCTGCTCCCGCTGTATTCTCCAGTGGCTTGTTCAATTAAGGCAGAGTTCAAGTAGGAAATAGTGCTCACACTGCTGATTGTGTCCTGTCTCTCTGAGGAGGGCCCTGAAATCCGACCGGAAGGGGATCAGCTCACAACCTGACTGAGTTGAGTCCTGAAGTAGTGTTTGCTCAATAAAAAGGTACAGTGTACAATCTGTTTATCTGTGTGTAAACACTTCAGTCCTTCGTGATTGGGGAATATGCACCGCTTGGGGTTTGATGCAAAAGCGACAGCTAATGGGTATGTGTCATCAAGTCTAGAGCCAGTGTTTGAATGCTGTAGGGTGGTGAGGAAGCAGCACTGAGTGAGTTGGCAGCAGTTGATCAGTTGGTACCAATGAGCTTGAGTTTACGTCTGACATTTTACAAGAAAGCGTTCTGCTCTTTGATCCTTATTGTTGGAATGGAAATATCATAATAAGCATAATAATTCATCATAATTATAAATCGTAATAATAACAACCATAAGAATAATGTAAATGATGAATACAGAGGTGATACAAAATACCCAACGTTAAAACAAAACGAAAATGAAAAGAGGATAACACAATCAAACATGCTTTAGAGAAGTTAAGTTTGGCAAGAAAGCGGTTTGCCATTTCATAAAAACCTCACAGTGAAAATAGTTATGCGCCTTCAAGATTACAAAGCATAGTATTCAGTAATAGTCTCTCTCTCTCTCTCTCTCTCTCTCTCTATATATATATATATATATATATATATATATATATATATATATATATACACACAGTGCATTCAGAAAATATTCAGACTTTTTCCACATTTTGTTACATTATAGCCTTATTCTAAAATTGATTAAATTCTTTTTTCCCCTCATCAATCTACACACAATACCCTATAATAAAGCAAAAACAGTATTTTTGAAAATAATTCACATTTATTACAAATAAAAACCAGAAATATCATATTTACATAAGTATTCAGACCCTTTACTCAGGACTTTGTTGAAGCACCTTTGGCAGCGATTACAGCTTTGAGTCTTCTTGGGTATGACGCTACAAGCTTTGCACACCTGTATTTGGGGAGTTTCTCCCATTCTTCTCTGCAGATCCTCTCAAGCTCTGTCAGGTTGGATGTGGAGCGTCGCTGCACAGCTATTTTCAGGTCTCTCCAGAGATGTTCAATCGGGTTCAAGTCCGGGCTCTGGCTGGGCCACTCAAGGACATTCAGAGACTTGTCCCGAAGCTACTCCTGCGTTGTCTTGGCTGTGTGCTTAGGGTCGTTGTCCTGTTGGAAGGTGAACCTTCACCCCAGTCTGAGGTCCTGAGCACTCTGGAGCAGGTTTTCATCAAGGATCTCTCTGTACCTTGCTCTGTTCATCTTTCCCTCAATCCTGACTAGTTTCCCAGTTCCTGCCGCTGAAAAACATCCCCACAGCATGATGCTGCCACCACAATGCTTCACCGTAGGGATGGTGCCAGGTTTCCTCCAGACGTGACGCTTGGCATTCAGGCCAAAGAGTTCAATCTTGGTTTCATCAGACCAGAGAATCTTGTTTCTCATGGTCTTAGAGTCTTTAGGTGCCTTTTGGCAAACTCCAAGCAGGCTGTTATGTGCCTTTTATTGAGTGGCTTCCGTCTGGCCACTCTACCATAAAGGCCTGATTGGTGGAGTGATGCAGAGATGGTTGTCCTTCTTGAAGGTTCTCCCACCTCCACAGAGGAACTCTGGAGCTCTGTCAGAGTGACCATCGGGTCCTGGGTCACCTCCCAGACCAAGGCCTTTCTCCCCCAATTGCTCAGTTTGGCCAGGCAACCAGCTCTAGGAAGAGTCTTGGTGCTTCCAAACTTCTTCCATTAAAGAATGATGGCGGCCACTGTGTTCTTGGGGACGTTTAATGCTGCAGAAATGTTTTGGTACCCTTCCCCTGGTCTGTGCCTCGACACAATCCTGTCTCGGAGCTCTACGGACAATACCTTCGAGCTCATGGCTTGGTTTTTGCTCTGACATACACTGTCAACTGTGGGACATTATATAGACAGGTGTGTGCCTTTCCAAATCATGTCCAATCAATTGAATTTACCATAGGTGGACTCCAATCAAGTTCGAGTCTCATAGCAAAGGGTCTGAATACTTATGTAAATAAGGTATTTCTGTTTGTTATATTTAAGAAATGTGCAAACATTTATAAAAACCTGTTTTCGCTTTGTCATTATGGGGGATTGTGTGTAGATTGAGGATGTTTATTTATTGAATCCCTTTTAGAATAAGGCTGTAACATAACAATATGTGTAAAAAGTAAAGGGGTCTGAATACTTTCCGAATGCACTACAGTACCAGTCAAAAGTTTGGACACACCTACTTTTTCAAGGGTTTTTCTTTATTTATACTATTTTCTACATTGTAGAATAATAGTGAAGACATCAAAACTATTAAATAACACATATGGAATCATGGAGTAACCAAAAAGTGTTAAACAAATCAAAATATATTTTATATTTGAGATTCTTCAAAGTTGCCACCCTTTGCCTTGATGACAGCTTTGCACACTCTTGGCATTCTCTCAACCAGCTTCATGAGGTAGTCACCTGGAATGCATTTCAATTAACAGGTGTGCCTTGTTAAAAGTTAATTTGTGGAATTTCTTTCCTTCTTAATGCGTTTGAGCCAATCAGTTGTGTTGTGACAAGGTAGGGTTGGTATACAGAAGATAGCCCTATTTGGTAAAAGACCAAGTCCATATTATGGCAAGAAAAGGTCAAATAAGCAAAGAGAAACGACAGCCCATCATTACTTTAAGACATGAAGGTCAGTCAATCCGGAAAATGTCAAGAACTTTGAAAGTTTCTTCAAGTGCAGTCGCAAAAACCATCAGCATGATCGGCTATGAGGACCACCACAGAAAGGCGCAGGTAGCTAGGGTAAGAGCGTTGCAGTAACCGAAAGTCGCTGTTCTAATCCCCAGCCGACCTAGGTGAAAGGAAGAACCAGAGTTTACCTCTGCTGCAGAGGATACGTTCATTAGAGTTACCACCCTCAGAAATTGCAGCCCAAATAAATGCTTCACAGAGTTCAAGTAACAGACACATCTCAACATCAACTGTTCAGAGGAGACTGTGAATCAGGCCTTCATTTGTGTATTTTATTTTTATTTAACTAGGCAAGTCAGTTAAGAACAAATTCTTATTTACAATGACGGCCTACATTTTACATTTTAGTCATTTAGCAGACGCTCTTATCCAGAGCGACATACAGTTAGCGATTGCATACATTTTCATACTGGCCCCCCGTGGGAAACGAACCCACAACCCTAGCGTTGCAAGCGCCATGCTCTACCAACTGAGCTACATGGTCGAATTGCTGCAAAGAAATCTCTACTAAAGGACACCAATAAGAAGAAGAGACTTGCTTGGGCCAAGAAACACGAGCAATGGACATTAGACCGGTGAAAATCTGTCCTTTGGTCTGATGAGTCCAAATTTGAGATTTTTGGTTCCAACCGCCGTGTCTTTGTGAGACACAAAGTAGGTGAACGGATGATCTCTGCATGTGTGGTTCCCACCGTGAAGCATGGAGGAGGTGTGATGGTGTGGGGGTGCTTTTCTGGTGACACTGTCAGTGATTTATTTAATAATATAATATGCCATTTAGCAGACGCTTTTATCCAAAGCGACTTACAGTCATGCGTGCATACATTTTTGTGTATGGGTGGTCCCGGGGATCGAACCCACTACCTTGGCGTTACAAGCGCCATGCTCTACCAGTTGAGCTACAGAGGACCACCATATTTAGAATTCAAGGCACACTTAACCAGCATGGCTACCACAGCATTCTGCAGCGATACGCCATCCCATCTGGTTTGCGCTTAGTGGGACTATCATTTGTTTTTCAACAGGATAATGCCCCAACACACTGTGTAAGGGCTATTTGACCAAGAAGGAGAGTGAAGGAGTGCTGCATCAGATGACCTGGCCTCCACAATCACCCGACCTCAACCTAATTGAGATGGTTTGGGATGAGTTGGACCGTAGAATGAAGGAAAAGCACCCAACAAGTGCTCAGCATATCCTTCAAGACTGTTGGAAAAGCATTCCAGGTGAAGCTGGTTGAGAGAATGCCAAGAGTGTGCAAAGCTGTCATCAAGGCAAAGGGTGGCTAAGTTGAAGAATCTCAAATATAAAATATATTTTGATTTGTTTAACACTTTTTTGCTTACTATATGACTCCATATGTGTTATTTCATAGTTTTGATGTCTTCACTATTATTCTACAATGTAGAAAATTGTTTAAAAAAATAAAGAAAAACCCTTGAATTAGTAGGTGTGTCCAAACTTTTGACTGGTACTGTATATATATACAGTATATATATATATATATATATATATATATATATATATATATATAAACTTAGGAGGCTGTCCGGTACCACTGCATCTAATGCCCAGGTTTACCCCTCGATGGTTCTGGGACATATGTTTTTGTTTTGAGTCCTTTCATTTCCATTTGCACAGAAACCATACCTCTTTGAAAGGGACGGAGCAGTTGACCGTATGCCTTTATGGCCGTGACGTAGACAGCTGTGCCTTGGGTGCTCAAGCTCTGTGCTGTTATATCTGGACTGAGCCATGGAGCGGGGAACCAATCTGACAAGGGTTTAGGAGGAGGACGACCATCATCCTGGGTGGAACTACTATTTCCTCCCATTTTGTTGAACCTGCTCCCCCAGACATAAAAAAGGCTTCAGAGTCACTATTTACTATTGAATTACATGTTTTAGAGATGGGAGCAGAGTAATCCTACAGATGTCATCGATGATAAACTGTACTTGACCTCAAAATGAAAGTTGTTACACATTTTGCCCATACTGAGAAATAGCCTTTGACAGCACTGAAGTACAAAGACTGAGGGTACTGCCGTGCAACAGATTGAGTTGGTGATCATTGCAGACTTCTGCGAGAACGTAACATGTCTTGCCTTGTTTTTTGTAAATACTTTGGTCAATATTTTCCTTCTCAATTTATACACATTCATACACACACAAATATGCATGTACATACACACTTGTAATAAACTTGATATTTGTGCACGTATGTATTCACACTTTTTCATAAAGGACTTTTTGCACAAAACATCAAGATGAAAATAAATAAGTAACCCAGAAATAAAACATGAGTACCTGTTTCATAATTATCCTGAAATAAAAAATGATTGAAAAAAAAAGGAGCCTTATGTACAGCATTTGTCTTATTTTGACACAGGCTAAAGGCGTTGTTTTAAATAAACAGACTTTGCAACTTTCAAGTAGCCTGAGAGAGAGGCTAGAAATGAGAAAAACACTTGTCCTTCCAAAACATGGCTGCCACACAAGAACACTTTCCTTCTCAAGTCCTGGAGTCTCATAGTCTTTTCTCTTTTCTAGGGTTTCAAGTGATGGCGTCGCTAGTTGTTAGCCGCTAGCTCACGGTGTGAGTCCTCCCTCAGTAGTGCTGCCGTGTCCTTGCAGTGGGAATGGTCCCGGCTAGCGCTGCCTCGGCTGCTAACTATTGGGCGGTCCATCATTCAGGAAGTAGGTTGTCATTTCCCCTTTACCCTTGACCTTAACGACCCCACGACACTCCAGAACGTATCCTATATCTGAAAGCACCTGGTGGAGGTCCGTGGTCACCTGAGGAGTGTGGAAAAATTAATAACAGAAATAGGAAGTTATTGGCTAAAATGCCAGGTGAGAATTTTTTTTGCACTATGCCCATGTGACCTACTTGTTGTGTGTATGTACTGACATGTATGTGTAACTGATAGATGCACACAAACGCACACTACATGTAAATGTTTTTAAATGTATGTAAATTGTAAAGTATTTTGTCTGTAATGTCTTTTCCGTTATGTGTCGGACCCCAGTAAGACTAGCTGTCGCCAAAAAAAAAGAATAACAAAAAAACATTAGGAACTGAGTATGAGCTACTGAGTGTTAACTGATTGACATCCTCCATACCTGAATGCGGTCGGGGACTCCTGTGCTGTCCATGCGACTGGCCACGTTGACCGTGTTCCCCCAGATATCGTACTGTGGCTTCCGTGCTCCAATCACCCCTGCCACCACTGGCCCAATGTTCAGACCTGGGAAAAGAGAGCCGGTTATAAACATAGCGGTTATTCGTACCAAACTCATGCATCCAACTATATTCTACTCCATTTACTATCGACCAACTCTCTCTTTGATCTGCCACACTGGTTTCTGTCCCACTCAATCCTGTCTGTTTCAGAGCTTCATGTGAAGTTCATGTGAAGTTCAACCTCAGCTAGCTTGTTTAAAGCTTTGTTTCGCTTTTTCAGACCTGTTTCCCCTCACCTATCTTCATCTGGAAGTTGTTGAAGGAATGCTCGTTGATGTACTTCATCTGCTCCCTCAGTCTCATGGCGTAGTCGGCCAGAGCCGTGATGTGGGAGCGACCCTTACGGTCGTAGGTGGAGTCATTGAGACCTGAGGCAGCCATGTAGGTGCTGCCGATGGTCTTGATCTTCTCCAGCTGACGGAACTTCTCCTCACTGATGATCTTAGAGCAGGAGAACACACACAGGCTCAGGTTTGAGACAGACCAAAAAAGTATCCCATTTTCAATGCATGAGGCCAAAGATGATAGTACTGAAAATTCACCAAAGGGCAAAAGACACTGAATTGACAATGGTATCCAAAATCCCATTGCCTACCCTCTCCTATCCTCTCCTCTGCTCTCCCTCTTTACCTCGTCAAAGTCGGCGATGATCTCGTTGAGCAGCCTGAGACACTCCACTCCCTCGTTGTTGGCCTCCAGCTCCACATAGAACTCAGAGAAGTTGGAGATGGAGGCGAACATGACGGCGACACACTCACAGGACTGGTAGTAGAGCTCGTCGTTCCTGCGCTCGCGCGCCAGGAAGTGAGCGGCCACGTCCTTGGGCAGGATGTTGTGGAGGAGGCGGCGGTTGTACGCCTGCAGCTCCTCCATCTCCTCCTTCTCCTCTGTGGCCTGGAAGGAGGACGTGAGGGAGCAATGTTAAGATAGGTGGGGGACATTTTACACTATACTATTGTTCTGCTGTAGTCAAGGAAGAGGAGTGCTCCCCTGTAGGCTCATGGTACCTGTAGTTTCCAGAGGAAGTCGAGGCGTGATGTGGACTCCACCTGCTGGGCATGGAGGTAGAGCGCCAGCACAAACACAGTGAGAATAACAGGAGTCATGACCCTCAGGGAAACTTTGGTCACACTGAATGGGCTGCAGAGAGACAGAAGAGGAGGTCAGAGAGAAATGGCTAGAAAGAAATCAAGAAAGATAGAAACCAAACTGCAGAGAGATGGAGTGAGTCAAAGAAAGAGAAACTGGGTCACACCCCTACACAGATTTCAAACAATGCTTTGAATCCAAACGTACCACTCGTCTGTAGTTTCATTGAAACTGGACCATTGAATAGTTTCATTGAAATCACTGGAGGAGAAAAATAAGAAAAGGGTTTAGTCAAATCCACTATCAAAAGAAAACATGTATGACCACGTTGTGCCCTCCTGAACACAGTCCCAGTACTCACATGGCATTGGAGGTGACGAAGAGGTCAGCGTTGTCGAACAGCGCCACCTGTGGCCACTCCACCAGCAGCAGGAAGGTAAACTGGATGAGCAGCATGAGGGCCAGCTTCCCTATACTGCTGATCTGGAGGAACACTGAACAAGCCAGCAGGGTCAGCAGCACACTGTAGCTGAAATACTGAGGGACAGAAAGACGGAGAGAATTGATCAACTATTAGTCTTCATTGATTGATTGATGATCAGATTGATCTGTTATTATGAAGAACATAAAAGGTATTTTCTGGTCCATATAAAGACGTAAAAAACATTGTTTTTCAGTCAGCATACCTGACATCTGTGACACACCCACTCACCTCTGGGAAGGGGCATGAGGGGCCCTGGCTAGGACAGATCTCTAGACCCCCGTCTACAGACACAGACAGGTTGCGGATGAGACATGGCGTCACCATGGCAACAGAGGTGTTCAGCTCCCGGGAGATACAGTCCACCAAGCTCTCTGTGTCACAGGCAAACTACAACAGAGGAGACACACACAAACATGTCAATTTGTGTGTGTGTGTGTGTGTGTGTGTGTGTGTGTGTGTGTGTGTGTGTGTGTGTGGGTCAATCTGTTCAGTCTCACCATGTTGACAAAGGCAGAGATGAAGACGAGGATGATGGTGAACACCCCCATCAGAGTGCTGTTGGTACGAGACTGGACTATCTTCTTTGACACTGTCTGCATCGCAGCTGGAAACAGCTACAAAAGAGGAGGAATAAGGAAAGAAAGTTTAGTGTCGTTGGTGTGTACAATAGGCGATGTGTGTGTTGTGGAGGATCCTACCTTAACGCAGGAATATATGGCACAGATGAAGAGGATGTTGGTGAGGATGATGAAGATACTGATGTAGATCCCCAGCATGACCGGGGTGCTGCAGGAGAAGACACACAGACAGGAGGACTTAGAAACATGTACGTGTGTGAGTGTGTGTGTGTGTGTGTGTGTCACTCACTGTGGAAATATGACAATCTGGATGAAGGCGATGAAACAGAAGACCAGGAGAGTACAAGCCACGTAACCTCCAAAGCGATCGTCCACCTTCTTCGAATACTACCAGAGAGAAAGATCAAAACTCATTAAAAACGGACTAAACAAATCTTAGGAAAGCATCAGCAGACTTTGACTGTGGATAGGAACAACATAATACTCCAGGGATTAACTAAATAAAGCCCAGAGTATTCTGGGAGATGTAGGCAGACAGACCTTTTTCTCCAGGCTGGAGGTCTGGAAGGTGAGCAGGAACTTCTTGACGTGGTCCTTCCTCAGCTGGTCGATGCTGCGGGCGTCAATGGCTCTCCCCAGAAACTCATCCACCTCATCCTCAGGGTTCATTGCCTCCTGTGCACCACGGCTGGAAAGGGGGAGAGTAGCAAGGGAGGAGGAGAGGCGGGAGAGAGAGAGTGAGGGAGAGAAGAGAAGAGATAGGTAAAATGGTAAGACCTTTAGAGTATGTGAATGTGTATCTTGGCGCGTGAGCCTGTCTACCTGGGTGTCTATTTAGGTGGTGTGTATTTGTGTGTATCCCAGAAATCCTCAGAGCAATAACCACTCACTTGTCTTTGCTGGACGACTCATCAATCCCCTGAGAAAGAGAAAGAAAATGAGGATTAACCAACATACAAAAACCCAGAGGAGAGATGTAAAAGAAAGGGATTAGGCAGTAGATACAACTCTGGATGGGAGAGATGCAGCTGGCCCTCAGGAGACAGGAGAGGAGAAACAGCAGAGACAATTGGTAGACACAGAGTAACATAATGGAGAGACTAGTGGGACACAGAGTAACATAATGGAGAGACTAGTGGTACACCGAGTAACATAATGGAGAGACTAGTGGGACACAGAGTAACATAATGGAGAGACTAGTGGTACACCGAGTAACATAATGGAGAGACTAGTGGGACACAGAGTAACATAATGGAGAGACTAGTGGGACACAGAGTAACATAATGGGGAGACTAGTGGGACACAGAGTAACATAATGGAGAGACTAGTGGTACACCGAGTAACATAATGGAGAGACTAGTGGGACACAGAGTAACATAATGGAGAGACTAGTGGGACACAGAGTAACATAATGGGGAGACTAGTGGGACACAGAGTAACATAATGGAGAGACTAGTGGGACACAGAGTAACATAATGGGGAGACTAGTGGGACACAGAGTAACATAATGGAGAGACTAGTGGTACACAGAGTAACATAATGGAGAGACTAGTGGTACACCGAGTAACATAATGGAGAGACTAGTGGGACACAGAGTAACATAATGGAGAGACTAGTGGGACACAGAGTAACATAATGGGGAGACTAGTGGGACACAGAGTAACATAATGGAGAGACTAGTGGGACACAGAGTAACATAATGGAGAGACTAGTGGGACACCGAGTAACATAATGGAGAGACTAGTGGGACACAGAGTAACATAATGGAGAGACTAGTGGGACACAGAGTAACATAATGGGGAGACTAGTGGGACACAGAGTAACATAATGGAGACACTAGTGGGACACAGAGTAACATAACGGAGAGACTAGTGGGACACAGAGCAACATAATGGAGAGACTAGTGGGACACAGAGTAACATAATGGGGAGACTAGTGGGACACAGAGCAACATAATGGAGAGACTAGTGGGACACAGAGTAACATAATGGAGAGACTAGTGGGACACAGAGTAACATAATGGGGAGACTAGTGGGACACAGAGCAACATAATGGAGAGACTAGTGGGACACAGAGTAACATAATGGAGAGACTAGTGAGTGGGACACAGAGTAACATAATGGGGAGACTAGTGGGACACAGAGTAACATAATGGAGAGACTAGTGGGACACAGAGTAACATAATGGGGAGACTAGTGGGACACAGAGTAACATAATGGAGAGACTAGTGGGACACAGAGTAACATAATGGAGAGACTAGTGAGTGGGACACACAGAGCACTCTGAGGAGAGCTGACATTTATGGGTGAGACTATTAGGAGACTAGAAGTAGAAGCAGGAGAGACACAGATGAGCCAAGAGAGAGAGAGGTCTCATCTCACCATCTGTCTGAAGACTTTGGAGTCCTTGGACCTGGAGAACCTTGTGTCGGGTACCCAGCGAGGCATCAGGCCCTCGTTGGAGTTGGACCGCGTCCTCTGCATCTTGGCCATCATGGCCTTCTCGTCTTTCTACACAGAGGAAAGCACAGACAGAGACAGAGGTTAGACACACTGATCCGCTGAAACCCTGGTGTGGATTAAAGGGGTGCTAACATGGACAACCCAACACATAGAATATAAAGGTTATTCCTGCCCACTTTTTAAGGCATCCCCAATAGTTTCTAACCCTGGTGCAAATGTAAAGCTGATTGGAATGGGCGAGAAACATTACTGCTTTCTAGTATCCTGTATAATGGTTGTGGCTAAATGGAGTACAGCTACGGAACAAAAGTTGCATGTTCAAGTTGCGTCGGGGACAACTGTAACATTCTAGCTAACCCTAACCCTTTTCCTAACCTTAACCTTATTCTCCTAACCTGCTGCGCTAGTTGTCCTAACCTGCTACATAGTCACTTCTGGCCGTACCGGTACTCCATCTAGCCATATACTGTAATAAACCTGTATGTGTGGTGGTTGGCAGGTAGTTGGTAGAGCATGGCGCTTGCAACGCCAGGGTTGTGGGTTCGATTCCCACGGGGGATCAGTACGAAATATATGCACTCACTACTGTAAGTCGCTCTGGGTAATTACTAAAATGTAAATGTGGGAAATAGTTTTGTCACTGACCCTTTTCTGGCTGCAACCCAACACCAGGAAGGTCTCGATGCTGTTCTCTTTCAGGTAGGCGTTCCTCTCCCCTCCTCTACCCGGCTCCACCTCATAATCCCCATTCAGATACTGCAGAGTTGCCTTGGTGATGTGGATCCTCCTGGAAAAGGGACACTAGGTCAGTCTGTGTGTGTGTGTGTGTGTGTGTGTGCGTGCACGTGTGTGTTTCCCTCACCCTGCCTTGCCCCCAGCCTCCATGTGGTTGGCTAGTGTGACATCATTGGACCACACATCAAACTGCCACTTCCTGAGTCCCAGCACCCCACAGTGCACACGGCCACTGTGGATGCCCACACGCATGTTCACGTTGACCCCTGTCACCTCTCGCACCAGCCTGCACACACACACACATAGAAGATGTATGTTACATTTCTTTCCAAAAAACGCATGATATCCCCACAGGCAAAGGCAATGCATTTATTATATATATTTTTATGATTTTTCATGTCTAGGAAATATGCCATCTCCCCACACACAGACGTTCCCCATACTCACGAGATGGCCTCTATCATGTCGACGCCCATCTCCACACAGCAGTGGGCGTGGTCAGCGCGGGGCTCAGGAAGCCCAGACACACAGTAGTAACAGTCGCCCAGGATCTTGATACGCAGACAGTGGTTCTCCTACAGACAGACACAGCCGTTATGACAGTTAGAAAGAGATAGATAACACAGGATACTGAATGGAGAAAAATGAATAAAATGGGGAGAAGGTGAAAAGAGAGAGGTGAAGAGAAATGCTTATTTACCGATGCTAGTTTGTCGAAGCGGGCGAAAAGCTCATTGAGTGTCATTACCAACTCCTGAGCCGTACACTGAGACGCCAAACTGGTGAAGCCCTCAATGTCCGCAAACAGAATACTGAGGAAAAAGAGAGAGATAGGCTTGATTATTGATTGATTGATTGATCAGATGACCCTTTATCCGCCTTCTCACTGTGTGTACGTGTGTGTGTGTGTGTGTGTGTGTGTGTGTGTGTGTATTTGAGACAGTGTATACTCAGCGCTTTAATTGAATCTGGGCTGGAGCTCCTTATCTTTGGGGATTATCTTATCTTGGCTGCTGGTAATTAAGTATTCCCTTACTATTCTTAATTAGCCTGCTCTCTGTCAAACCCTAAGTGAGTGTGTGTATGTGTGTGTGTGTGTGTGTGTGTGTGTGTGTGTGTGTGTGTGTATGAGAATGTTGATCTGCAAGTAACACTTTTAGTTTTTTAACTAATTACTCAGAGATCAATATAGCTAGAAATACCATATTTTATGACAAACAACTTATATAAGTCCTCTACCATTAGCAACTATAATTTAATTTCTATGGTAAATTAGTTTAAATTAAATAGACCGAGAACAGAACTACCGCCATGTTACTTTTGTACCTGCTGGTAGGTTGTGAGTAACACAGTCTTGGGGTGGAAGTAACAGCTGGCGAGAAGTGCACAATATCTGTCTTATCTCCATGTTTCTGGTTTGTAATGTTTGTTACTTTCAACGAATGTACAATCAGCCATAATTTTATGTTTGTGTCGATTTGAATAATTAATGCTATCGACATCGCAATGTTGTGCAACCACAACATTTTGCCTTAAAATATTATATCTGACTAAAATGGATGACATAAAAGCTATATTAACCATCATTTTCTCATCTCACTTTAAAGGGAATGTAGTAGATGTTTTTCACAATTTTCTGTGACTATTCATGCTTAGCCCGACCAATCAGGTGCTCCAGCTGTCCTTGACATGCGCGCTCCTTGTGTCTTGATAGAATAAACATTTTAATTATCTTCACAAACGGCAAACTCATCATGCTTATCACATTACCATGGCTTGACACAAGGTAATTGACCCCCAGAATCATAAAGATATATATTTTTAACCACTAAACTGTCGATAAAAACGTGCGAGAAGCTGATCCATCAATTCAATTGATTAAGGCATAATTCTAATGATGTCATATATAATTTTCAAACATTCAGTCACTTGTTGATATTTTGCTAACATTATAAAAGCATAATGAACTAGAGGAGACAATGGCCTGTGCTTAAAAGTTTATTTTATTTTATTCCAGGTCATCAGTTTACATTGTGCTCCTTTCGTCCCACCCGTCTCTCCTGTAACTTCTCCCAAGGCTAACACCAAGACTACACTCCTAGAAAAAAGGTGCTATCTAGAACCTAAAAGGGTTCTTCGGCTGTCCCCATAGGAGAACCCTTTGAAGAACCCTTTTTGGTTCCAGGTAGAAAATGTTTGGGTTCCATGTAGAACCCTTTCCACAGAGGGTTCTACCTGGAACCAAAAATAGTTATCCTATGGGGACAGCCAAAGAACCCCTTTGGAACCCTTTTTTTCTAAGAGTGTAGCTAGCATGATACTTGAAGCCTATGCTGTCATTTAGTCACTAGATGGGTTAAGAAAATGACATATTTTTGGAACCTTAAACAGCTAAATACAACTCTACAATGCTCAAAACCACTTTTTGTTGATAACATGGTCGGACTGGGCTGCTTTTTTTGTTGCAGGGAGCTCGTCCTCCACATTAGGAACGTGCTGACTTCACTACGTCATTCTAGCTTCTGTGTTATCTTAGAAAATGGGTGTGTTACTTTCGCCTGTGTTACTTTCATCCCAGCTCTCCCCTACTGTTGAATATGTGGCACAGGAATGCTAATAGTAGTTTGCTTAGAGCAGTTAAATGAGGTCATGTGATAAAACACATGAACATTGTGTTGGACGTTAGAAGTCATAGCGCTTGTCAGTTTGGTTGGTTCAAGTAATGCTGTGGTAACAGATGTGTTGTTGTCAGGGCTACCGAGGTTACCAGGACGATAGTGTCTATGCTGACCTGACGTTGTCATGTTTCTGGATGTAGATCTTATGGAACATCATGTCTTCCTTTTTAGCGTTGATGTCAGCCTTCATCTCCATGGCAACATGCCTTGGCAACACAGACAGCAACAGGCGTTCCTGAAGTGATGGGAGAGATAAAAGACAAGGCTTGGTTAGCAGCTGCATGTAATACTTATGTCCTTCAAAATTCCTGCTTTCTGTCAGTCAATGGAGGTGTTTACACACTGTGTGTGTGTGTGTGTGTGGTGTACCTGCTGCTGGTTCTCTCTCTGCAGGTGCAGTCTGGCCTGAATGTATCCTCTGGTCTCCTGGAAGGCCTGTCTCTGAGACACCTCGGCAGGGTAGTGGGTACAGATCCCAATGATGTTAGTGCACAGGAAGATCAGCACATTGGCACTCAGCTAGAAGAGAGGGGGATAAAGTAAAGAGAGAGGGGACAGTTTTTCTGTAGCCCTTTACACTCGTACCCGTATACAGGTTGAAAATGGTAGATTTGGGCACTGATAAGTTCCTAGATTGGAACGCAGTGGCTGTACAGAAACATGCTATACATGATGTCAGAGATCAGGGTCTCTGCTTCTCAGCGCTGTATCGGTTTTGACTGACAGCCATTCTAAACTTGAGCTGTAAATTAAGAGGATTCAACGTATTTTGAAAGATGAGACCTTGAGGATTAAGCCAAACACCCGTGAGTCCAAATGTGCACTTCACATTTCCATATCATAAAACTTGGGGATGCAGGGCTGTGTTCCAAAAAAACAACTACAAGTGTGCTTGCTCTAGTTCCTCAACGACACAGCTAGGAGAGCTCCTAAAAGTTGAAGACTCTTCTTTGAGTCATAAAAGCACATTGAAATTACTTAAGAACTGTGCACACTTTGGAGAGTTGTGCGGCCACTTAGAGACACCAGTTTGACCTCTCACTCAAACCTTTGTCATTTTTTTGTCTTATGTTGCACCTACCCCAACTTTTCCAAGACTATTCTTATCATGTTACAGAGTATTTTCAGATGTAGTTATCAACAAATACTGCGAAAAGTACAGTAAATGTAAAATGCACATAAAATCAACAATGTAATGTTTGGATTCAGTCTTGTGAACTGTTGTGTCCTCACTTTAGTCTAATAATTTTCAGATAATCTCCAAACTGTTCCCTTTTAATTGCTACCATGGTTATGCATATGCTTTCCATAATTCTTCTGTAAGAAACATTTCAATGTAGCCCTATCCATATAGGCCAATTCCCACGAGTGTAAAGGGTTAAAGGCCCAAGTGCTGTCAAAAATGTGATTTCTCTGTGTTTTATGAGAACACTATGAGAATGGAATAATACTGTGAAATTGTGAAAATTATGATAATGCCCTTTTAGTGTAAGAGCTGTTTGAAAAGGCCACCTGAAATTTCAGCCTGTTTTAGTGGGATGGAGTTTTGGCCTGCCTGGTAACATCACCAGGCGGTAAATAGTGTTAATAGACCGATTAGAAAGAGAGTTCCAAACCTCTCTGCCAATAACAGCTAGTTTTCAGAGTTCCCCTCCCCACTCAGACCACTCCCAGACAGTCCAAGCAAAAATCTTGCTTAAGAAATGTATCTTTGCTATGAATCTACTTTTGTTATATTTGACCATTTTTATTGAAAACAATCACAGTAAGGTACTTAAATTGTTACCCGGAAATGATTTGATGTTGAGATAAAAAACAGCTGCATTAGAACTTTAACATTCTTTGCTGGGGGGCAGAGTAGAGCAATGTTGTGGGTATCTGGATAGGGATGCACAGTACAGAATCAAATACAGTAATGAAATACACAAGGAATCAGATACTGAAATGGTGCGTTCCTTGCCATGCATTAAAACAGTGGCACGGGTCTATTGACATTTCTACGGTTGACAACATTTCCAGGAAATGCACTTAACACGAGCAATGGACATGTCCTTTGGTTTGATGAGTCAAAATTTGATATTTTTGCTTCCAACCGCCGTGTCTTTGTGAGACGCAGAGTAGGTGAACGGTTGATCTCCGCATGTGTGGTTCCTACTGAGAAGCATGGTGGAGGAGATGTGATGGTGTGGGGGTGCTTTGCTGGTGACACTCTCTGTGATTTATTTAGAATTCAAGGCACACTTAACCAGCATGGCTACCACAGCATTCTGCAGCGATACGCCATCCCATCTGGTTTGGGCTTAGTGGGACTATCATTTGTTTTTCAACAGGACAATGACCCAACACACCTCCAGGCAGTGTAAGGGTTATTTGACCAAGAAGGAGAGTGATGGAGTGCTGCATCAGATGATCTGGCCTCCACATTCACCCGACCTCAACCCAATTGAAATGGTTTGGGATGAGTTGAACTGCAGAGTGAAGGAAAAGCAGCCAACAAGTGCTCAGCATATGTGGGAACTCCTTCAAGACTGTTGGAAAAGCATTCCTCATGAAGCTGGTTGAGAGAATGCCAAGAGTGTGCAAAGATGTCATCAAGGCAAATGGTGGCTACTTTGAAGAATCTAAAATCTAAAACATATTTTGATTTGTTTAACACTATTTTGGTTACTACATGATTCCATGTGTTATTTCATAGTTGTGATGTCTTCACTATTATTCTACAATGTAGAAAATATTAAAAATAAAGAAAAAGCCTTGAATGAGTAGGTGTGTCCAAACTTTTGACTGGTACTGTACACCTGACCTTGTATGGAAATACACAGTATCCATGCATTCACACATGCACACCTGCACACACCCAAATTCACACTCAAACCAACAACAGCAACATTAACATTCCCTTTGGAGGCATGTTGATCCTGTTTGCCGAGTGGCGCAGTGGTCTAAGGCACTGCATCACAGAGATCCTGGTTCAAATCCAGGCTCTGTCGTAGCCGGCTGCGACCGGGAGACCCATGGGGCGGCGCACAATTGGCCCAGGGTAGGGGAGGGAATGGCCGGCAGGGATGTAGCTCAGTTGGTAGAGCATGGCGTTTGCAACGGCCAGGGTTGTGGGTTCGATTCCCACGGGGGGCCAGTATGAAAAAAATATATATATAATGTATGCACTCACTAACTGTAAGTCGCTCTGGATAAGAGCGTCTGCTAAATGACTAAAATGTAAAAATTGTGTTTCCTCCTGTTCTCATCCCCTCATGAGTCCATTGACCACCTCATATGTTTTACAGCTTTCTTTTTTTATGTGTCCTGTCTCTGGGACCTCCCCTGTCACACTGTCCCCAGAGTGTCCACAGCTGCAGTGTGGGGAAAAACCGCTGCCCTTTGACCCGCCGAGAAGCAGTTTCCTTTAAAGATGGCCTCTTCTTTACAGTGTGCTGCGTGTGAGAGAGTAGAAACCCTCCACTCCTCCCGAGGCTGCTTTTGGACACAAACACCGGCTGGCCGCATGCCAACAGGAAACACTGTGATGTCACACCCTATGTGGAGACCCTAAATTAGCACAGCAAAGTGGTTAAGGGGCTAATGTGCCAGGGAGGGTTAACCAAGGTCTTCCCAATCTATATCAATTATTTCCTTGGAGGTATAAGTTCATGTATTTTTCTGAACCCACTATCTCTTTGCAAACCTCACCATCTTTCTTTCTCTCTTATGCGCTCCCTCTACTTAATATGAAAGTGATTCTATCCTCCTTACAAATCTTTTAATCATCCTGAAATAGACAGTTGAGTGCCCCATCATTATGCAGGTGAAGCCTGACTCCTACTGTGCAGAAACAGTACCACGGGTAGGATTGGTTTGAATGACTTCAATAGATTTCAGTTTATAGATTTCAGATTTCAGTTTACAGTTTACAGTTTATAGTTTATAGTTTACAGTTTACAGCTTACAGCAAACATACAACCATATTATTTTCCACACTTTAAAATATTCCTCCTCCCAAGAATATCTGTAGAGTTCCGAAGGTACTCGCACTCAAACAATAAAAAGGACAAATCCAAGGAGGCAGAGATGCAAAGATATACTTAATTTAATCCATGCTCGAAAGAATACAAAGGTGAAAGTGCACAATGCTAAAAAGTGCTACACTTTTTTGCAATGTGCACTTTCAGCTTTGTATTATTTTAAGCACAGATTAAATTAAGTATATCTTTGCATCTCTGCCTCCTTGGATTTGTCCTTTTTATGGTTCTCTCACGCACCTGCTGCCATTCATTCTAACCCGCATACAGGCTTCCTCCCAAGAATATTCCACAAGAAAGGGATGAAATCCCACCTAGCCCATATGTGTGCATTTCGTCAAAGAGTGAAATGACCTGAAGAAAGGCAGTTGGTAGCTAATAGCCCCTGATCTCTTAATCCGCATCTGACCCATGAATGAACTTTGAACTCCCCCTGACCTTTCCAAGAAACAAGTGCACAGGTGGATATGCAGAGTTTTTACACCAAAGAGGGAAATAATTAAAACAGGAAGAATAAAAGAAAAGAGAAATATACAAGATACGTGGAGAACATGGGACAAGGGGAAGATATGTGACTTAAGGGAAGGGGGGATAGACTGGGAGGGGTGGAGAGGGTGAGAGTAGAAAATAGAATAGAATACAATGGACAACAACAGATAACATGGAAGACAAGGGGATGTTGAGGGGAGGAAGGAAGTGGTGGTAGTGGAGTGAGAGAGGGAGAAAGAGAGAGAGTGAGCGAGCGAGAGATAGTAAGAGAGGGAGTGAGGGGAAGGAGGGAGGTGGAGAGAGAGAGAGAGGAGAGGTAGAGCGAGAGAGAGAGAGAGAGAAAGAGAGAGAGAGAGAAAGCAGGAGAGGATAAATATGGGCCACTGTGACATTAGGCAGATGGCTCCTAGCACTCAGCTCTGTTTACATTACTCTCACTGTTCAAGCAAAAACAGCCCAGAGAGAAGAATGAAACCTGCTATGTGAGTGTGTGTATGTGTGCGTGTTTACTTAAGTGGTCTGGTGAATGAGCTAGAGAGTACTGTATCCATATATGTGAGAGAGAGTTGACATTGCATGTGTGTCTTCTTGCCTGTGACAGAGTGTTGTCTGTGTGTATAGTTGTACTGTACGGTATGTGTGTAGGATCACAGGCCAGGCCTAAATGCTTGCTTTTCTCAAGATGGAGAGGGCCTGCAGGTTTATGCGACAGCACACACACACGTACTGTTCAGGACCTCCACTTAGCACTATCTACCTGTTGTGGGCCTACACCTGTCCCAGTTTACAGTCACACACACACATTAGTAACCTTATATTGTCAACACCACAGTACAGTAGGAGACATACATCTATTGTCCATTAATAGAGGTAGCCCTTTCCTGTAGTCAAATGACCTAGTGGCCTCATGGGAGGATGTTATTAATATTCATAATTAATCCCACCCCCCCCCAAAAAAAAAACGACACATACGGTATATAAAGTGTAATATTGGGACGCTAACTCAAAATGTA